TATATATATAGCGAATCTTATCGATCGTGGTTTTGCATCTCTAAATAACATTTAGTAAGAAAGGTACTATCAATATTGAATTTATTCCTAGATAAAGCGCTGTATCGCAGTCTGTTACGGCGGTCGACAACAGCAAATAGGCGTACGTTATCCCACTTGATATCATTCTAGTATATGTAAGCCGTCAACCGACTAATAGCATATTATCTTAATGTATTGGTGATAGTTTCAGGTGGTTACGTTAATGTCAGCAGTATACGTTGGACTATATTTCGCTTTCAACTTCTCGACGCAGGAGGCCATAAGAAGCAAAGGGTTGCAATGTATCGCTAATTTACCCTAAAACAAACATAGTACAATATGGATAGGCTGATCATGTTAGGCCGGCTCTAACGATAGCTTTCAGATATGTCAGGAGAACTCCTCGATACTCAAAATTTTACGATATTTCGATATATGATATTACAATACGATATTTCTGGTGAACCTAGATGAACCCAAAAAGAATACTGTTAAGAACGTCGTGTACGTACTTGAAAGATAGAGATTGTCTGATCGTTAATCGACCGTGTTGCCTGAGCCCATCTCCACAACACAGAGCGATAGCTGGGCATCTTAATATTAAGATGGGCGTGACATAACCAGCGATCTCTAAGTGTTGGAATTGATACCAACATACGTGCGCCACGTTATTAAGACGATAGTCCCATAATTTAACAATACCAATATATCTAGTATGTGCAATGCTTCTGACGCCGTCACTAATGGACCCGTGACTCTATTTACCAAAGCTCAAATCCATAATTTCCTTTTTTGCTTGGTTATCTATCACAATCTAGTTATGAATGAGCATAACGAGGGCTATATTGAATTCTACGTAGCTTTTAGGTCGACCCATAAGAGGAAAGTTAAAAAGGAATAACAAAACAAAAAACAGAACAAATTGCGTATGTCCATCATTTCGTTCGTCGCCATAACTAAACGTCATTCAACTATAATAAAAGCAATTCTAAAAAAAAACAAGATAAAAAATTGCAGTTGCTCAGATAACTTATTTTCCTTTACTAGCCTTTACGAGTTTGCTAGCCTTGCTCAAATCCAATTACTTCCATTCATGAAATGATATCCAATAAGGATGCTAGCGAAACTATGCCTATATAGCGGATTAGCAAGCAACGTTAGAAATATTACCATTTAAAATAAGCTTCGAAGTAACTAGGCCTGATCAGCTTCTAAAAAAAGATCCGGTTTTATTTTTCTTAATAATTAGGAAGTACTTGAAGGCGGTTCATAGTAGCCTACCACGAGCGTAGTATCATAGCGCAATGACTTTTTTCCAAGAAGACAATTTGATACATTAAGAGCTCCTTAGAAGCGTTCACTACGTGTATGCAAACTTGCGTTGAAGTTTAGTCGGGTGTAAAGGACCGCAATGTCCCTCGATAGTAAACAAATTAGCGAGCGTATATGCGAACATGATTCTACCGTTAAAAACTTCACTTACGTACATATATCGGCCACGACCATCCTCCTTGTTGACTTCCTGTTCTCACTTTACTCGCCCAACGTACTAATTCGTCATAAGCGAAAAACTGCCGCATTCATTCATAGGTAATAATTAACCCAGCCCATGTATGTTCCCTTCTTGGCTGTTGCGACACGGTGCTATGACGACATCATCATTTTGATTATAAACAACATACGCTTTGTCATTACCGTCACCAAAGGCGCAAAGAGGCGCAACAGTACGTCGATAGATTGTCAGCTTAACACATTTTCTTAGAGTCACCATTCGTGATTCGCATTAGTGCGTTTGCTAGTTCATAGCTTCTGCTATACCGCAGAACTATATGAAACAGCCAAGACCTGTTGCGCTATGCGGGTCTCGGGCTGTGGAAGCGAGTTCGAGTGCTGCACGGCCAAGTCAACGCGTCAATCAACGTACAAAGCAGTAGACAGTGTGCAAAAGTGAGACGGTACGCTCAATACCGAACAAGAACTGCAACAATTGGACATTCTTGACGCTTAGCTGTTCGACTGTCCGCAAGTCTGAACCATTTGTTTTTGCTCGCTTCACGAGCTAGTTCGCCGCGCGGAACAACGCTTTGTCTTTTCCTTTTTGCCTGTTTGTGTGCGACTGCGGTCGTTTCTCCGTATCAGCTCAATGCTGACTTCGTATCGGCCATCGTCGACTTCACAAATGCGCAAATTAATAGCGACGAACAGGTAGGTAAGTAATCAGACGATCGACATCAAATGGGGTAACAAGTGTTTGGGCTGGGTTGAAGGACTTAATTGTTGGGAAATGGGAAGGAGCGGTCTTCACAGCAAAGTTGAAAAAAGGCACTGACTATTGATAGGAGCCTCATCAAGCTGGTTACGATTACGGTGGTAATGATGATGACAATATAAATCGTAATGGTGAAGTCGCACGCTGATTCTTTCGTACCCTTCATTTTTCTATTAAAATCAGAACCGTCTCATCCTGATAATACATACTATTATTACATAATAATATTACATAATAATTAATTACATAATAACCACGGTACAAATAGATATAGTGTATTTTGTGATTGTAATAATAAAATATTGCTACATGCTTACATTTTCCAAAAACATATAATTAAAATATAACATAAGTGGCTGACAGATCAATAATAGATTACTTCGGTGTTTTAAGCTGGACCAGAGGCTTTTTTCTCATAGGCTAGAAGCCACTTTTTGACGTGGTCCCGTTTACCCCTGCAGTATGCGCCGGTTTGTCCTCCACTTTTGACTACTCGATGGCAGGGGACTACAAGCGGGAAGGGGTTACGGCCCATTGCGTTTCCTAAAATGAAAGATAATAATGCAAATTTTTTAATCGAGTTATAAAGTTGACTGCTTTCAGAAAATGCAAAGAAGTACCCGTCGGTACAACTAAATAGCATTAAGTGCTTATGCCGAACTTGACTCAGTTGGAATGAACTACTAATCGAGGGCAAGCTATTTTATGTGCATGTATTATATAAAGCTGACAAGCTGAGTTCGTTCCTATGAAATACAAAAAAAATGTGTTGCCACCATCTCAGCACCACAACAGCCCCAAACAACTAGTCTTTTGCGACTCTATTTGCCACGGCCTAAATTCATATTTTTTTTTCCTTTCACCATTTATCTCAACGTACCTGCTAACAGTTCGTCATGAAAATTTTGTAGACATAGTTTCTTCGGGCTAAAACGTTTCGTGTCGTTCAAATTTCTACTACTGAGACGCCATGGAAAACTATGTAGGAGTAAAGACTCAGTAAAACAACGCTATTAGAAATTGCAGAAGAAGCCATTTCTCTAACTCAAAGCACAATTATCAAAAGCTGAATCGACGATAGAAACAAGACTGAGAGATTTTGATATCAAAGTTTCAAAGAACAGGAATTACATCATAGACACTCAATACCACACAACGTAAACCAACTCGTCTGTCTTTAACTGAACATATCAGAACTAAGTACACAAAATGAAGACGCACTTGTTAGCATAACAAGCCACTGACTTCACTTCAAAATGCCTCTGTACGCCATCAAGGAGGGCACCTACTGCTACGTATGTACCCAATCGATAATACTCAAGAGTTGCCAGAGTGCACTTATTACCGGTCACGCTTTCTGGTACGACGCAGAACAATGCGCCTTACTTTTGAATCATCTCCGTCGACTGGGGTTGCTGTACATCGAGGCCATTCAATGAGAAATTTAGGCGCCTCCTCAAATATAACATTCGATTATGTTCTTTGTTCCTAAAACAGTCTGTTTAAATGCATAAACATAAAAAGTATACCGGGAAATGTGAAGGTCGCTTTTGCAATATCAGCTTTGACTCCTTCTAAAACTAGAAGAAGTTGGATGAAAATAAAGTCTACTGAAGTATCTAGCCTTCATTCCATCTAATGTCGCAACGGGAAATTGATTGTGTAAATACGCTCCCATATAGTTTTGCATACTTAAGTAAGTTAGACTGATTCTCTAGCGACTAGCTATGCTATCTTATTAAGAACTAGAAACATGCCAGCCTGTAGTGCTTTTTTGCAGTAATACTTGATCATGTAATTTGTGTATTCAGCTGTATAAATGAATTTTTAACGCTGGCAACGATAGCTTACGTTTCAATGCTACTACGTATCAGACGGAGCAATAGCTACACACGGCAGGCTCCTCGAAAGAAGATGGGAAAATTATTTATGAAATGAGACTCATTGTTCTAGATATGATGCATTAACTCAACTGAGGTGATAAATATAATTCCGGCAATATAATTATAACTTACACCCGTGCCGGTCTAAGTATCCGAATAAACTCACCAACCGCTCTTGCTGCTCGAGAATTTCCGGAAAGATCACCGAGTTCAGCATAACTAATGGTTCTGCCAAAGGTAACTTTACTTTGCAGTGTCATCCATACCTGAAAAATTTTCGTTCCGTCACAATAATGATTATTATTAAGAAACTTCACTGAATACTCTGACACCTTTTTTTATTTAGTAATTTAGATTTGCCAGTAATAGCTGTCGTTTGGATGAAAAATGGAAAACCTAAGAGGCGAAAAAGGGTTCTTCGATGAACAGGGCCTTCATAGTATGTATGATTTTTTTGTTAGTCTTTATTCTTTGCCCTAATTTACATGCAGCTTTTACGTTAACACTTTATATGATTACAGGGTACAGCGTTTAATGAAGCTGAATTTATATATCTTATTAAATTAAATCAAATCAAAATTCCCTGTTTTTACTTAGATCTCTTTGAGATCAACTGAGCAAAGAAACGTGCGGTGCCAAGGTTAAGGAGTACTCGGGGACGTTTCATCAGAACCCATGGCGAATTTACTAAATTATAGCTATTTTGTTATAATGGAGCGATAAAAGTGTAAAAAAAAAAATAGACTGGTGCGAAACTTTGTATGCTCTCGTTTGGTATAAATCAAGCCTAGGACCTTTTTTGTGAACGGGCCATATGTTGAACAGCTGTTCGGACAAAGCTCAGGCAAAAGTGCCTGGCTTATTTTTTTTGGATGTTCAAAATAAGTCTGCAGCCAGTCAACACAGTCTCGTATAGCTTTTGGTAGATCCAACTTGTCGCTTAGCTCACCTCCAACGATTGCCACTAGAATGCTAACACAGAAAAACATACGTATTTGGTATATGCTTATCTTAAATTCAGAACAGAGGTTATTAAAGCATTGCTAAAACTAACTAATAACCATAATACTCGTCAATTTGTAAATTACGCTATCCAGCTTTGGCTGTTGTAAGTATACAATCATTCACTTTGTATACACGCAGCCCTCATATGAGCGTAGAGGACAGCAATATTTACATGCTATGGCTACAACCGGCAGAACTGGAAATTCTAAATATATATATATATCAAAAAAAACCTGCCCTGACAAACTAGAAACGTAATCAGGTCGAGTGGACACTGTGCTAAGAGCTGACCTGGAGTCAGGATTCCTAGAGTCGGTAATTTCATCCTGGCTAATAGAATGAAGTCCCCGACTGCACCCAATAACCTTTAGAATTCCTATGGGCGTCTCAACCCAGCGGGTACGACAAACACCGATGCATGGAAGCCTTGAAGCTTGATTCGAAGGTGCCATCTATTATAGGCAAAAATAGATTTTTACATAGGAAGAAACTCCGACCACGACATGTTGAACTTCAGAGGTGTATCCCTATCAGCTGTCTACTGGTGCGAGCTACCAAGACTTCGCTTAAACTCCATCACATAGAGTATCTGAAAATCAAGCATTATTCACTAACACAGCCACCGATATATGTAAATGACGAAAAAGCATAGATGTTAAGGCATATATCTGTCTTGATTGGATGCGCCATCGCCCGCTGTCGTTGCGCTAATTTCGCACGAGCTCATTTCATTCGATTTTTTCTCTATGTTTAACAAACGTATTGCTTATCAGATTTGAGAACACGTATCTTTTTTGTCTAACTGATGCAAACAAAATATCACAAACTAAAGAATTAATACATTTTAGGTGAACAATGCACAACCATATAGCGTCCACTGCTAAATCTACATGTCACATATAATTACACCGCCTACAGCACAACCTACTGTGCTGTATAAATATCTCCAGGTGCCGTGCTCTATGGTGTATGCAAATCACACAATTCTCGGAACGTCTGCTGTTTCAATAAGCTAACCATGGACAGTCGTATTGTGTCATGATCATGCTATGCTATATATATAGATATGCGAAAGACAATTTCAAGTGAACAAAATTCAATGTTCTCCTTTCCTTCTTGGTGATGGGTGCATCATGATATAATTTTAGTTGTAACAATTTAAAAAAAAAAATAATATAATTTTAAAGATTACATTTATATAAACACTTTCGAAATTATGACGGCCTTTGTTGTATGTGTGTATGCACTTTTTTTGTTAGCTTTGTTCTTTGACGATATACGCCTGAAGATGAGCAGCAATATGAAACAGAACATCTAGATCAATTTTTTTGGAAAAGTTACCAAGAATTAATAAAACCTAACAACGTTTCTGGGTGCAGACATGTACTTACCAGAGGAGCTTGTGATAGCGTAGCTAAAACATCCGGCGCCGGGCGTGAGCACGAAATCGGATTTTCTATAGCCCTGGTCTTAAAAGAAGGCTTTGGGTCCCCACTTCCATCGAGACAATCGGAGTAATGAATCTAGCCGAATTCGTGGTCCATATGAAAATCAATGAGGCGGACAATGGGACCAGAAGCGACAATATGAGCAAAACTGGCAAATTTCTGTAGCTGGAATGCCTACCGACCTGCCCAAAAGCTCGGCGCCTCGTACCCAAGAAAATGCCAGTTTGTGAATAGGCGTCCAATTCCCGACAAGGAGCGCAGTTTTATAACCCTCGCGAATGATCGCCGTCCCACTTCGGATTCCATAGGCAGCGCATAAATTAGGCAAATAAATAGAACGTTTTTTATTACCCGTTGTATGGACAATATGCTGAAGGTTATGTTATGCCTCTTAGCAAATAACAAAAACAGCAGTTTACAGGACAGTTCTGTCCTTTTTGCAAGATAATCTATGGTGTGTATAGGACAGTAAACTGGTTACCTATTAACAGGAAGGATCAACTTGGGCTATAAGGACCAAAGAAGGACAAGTGACTAACGGTAAACACATCCGTATCACAAGTGAACTACCCCCTTACAGGACATAGGCTGCCTAATTAATTATTGTAATAGTTCTATCTACTGAAACATGGATAAAACACTGTACGGTCATCTGCCAGGCCCATAGCAGCATCCATATTGGTTTCCATGCAGAAACTGTATCAGATTTAACCCGTCAGGGTTGTTTACACGGTGTAACCTATATTCGTCCGCACAGTATGTCAGCTGTGCAGATTATGATCTGCACAGTTTAACGAAATTTCACGTTGAGATTATCATAAAGCAGTAAAAAAAGATCGTTTTTACTATTACGCCATATAAAGGTAAGACTTCTACAACGCGCTTATCGTAGTGAAGTGTGCTGCGCTATTCAATCTATAGAAACTATAAGACCCTAACGATGTGTATTTAAATTATCTATAAACCGTAAATATTATTAAATCGTTCAGGCATAATTTCAATATCGATACTACAAATACGTATGCCGTCATTGGTATAATATTACGGTGATTGATATGCATGCACATAATTATATCTTCAAATTTACAAACTGTAAATTTGAACTAACTAATTTTGCTAACTTCAGGTTATTCAAACCATTTCAATCGAAACATTTATTTTATAACAGCGTGAAAAGACTACATTGAAAGTAACAAACAATGCTGTTCTTATTCAACTCAGCATTACGTCACGTCATGGCAAGCAGATAAGGAAGAGTTGATGAAATAAATAAATTGGTAGTAAAAGAAGCTCATGGCAGAACGATGCGTAAAAATGCTTACGCACTACGGTGTTCTTATACTATCTTTATACAGCTTTGCACATTTCTTAAATCATCTCGTTCATACTAAAGCTCGCTGAATTAAAACTATTAAAATCTATGTAAATAAAAAAAAAAAGAGTTTTTTAATCGTTGAGCAATTGCAGCTGTTTCGCTTTGTGAAGTCCCAGAAATTCTGTTATTACAGGCTTGCCGACTATAGGGCTCATTTGCTATGCTACAGGAATTACACGTGTCTTGATAACCGACTCGAAATCCCTTAATCCTATCAATATGCCCTTCTAGGCGCAGAGAAATCATCCACTAATTACAATAAAATGAAGCGATATTACAGTTACACACTTTGCAAACTAGCGTCTCGTTGCTATAACAATGGGTATTATAGAAAGAGAGTAGCTAACAAGAAACAACAAACTACCCATATGTCTGGCAGCTGTGCATAAGATATGCTATTACGAATTTGGACACGCCCAGAAAAACTCTGCGACCTTGAGACAACTCTACGGCAACAGACCTTGAGTTAAAATTGCTCGTAAGTAAAAATAATGACCTCAAATAAAAATGCGTCCTCGCAGAAAAATGTTTAGTGGCAAAGAAATAGGAGTGTTAATCTACGACATATTGTTCTATGATATTTTAATGTTATGGTAAATCTTAGAACCTTTTGGACATTAACATTTATAGTGAATCATGGGCCGATGGGAAACGTATAGTTTTTTTGCTAGTGGCCCTGTAAGGGGCGCATAATTAAAAAATAACAGGCTTAAGTGTATGTTTGACTTGGTAAATCTATCAACAAAAGAGTATTTAATGTAATGTTAATGTTTTGGTGAATTTGTCGTACGACCGTCTTGCGAAAAAACGTTCAGTTCAGCTCAGCAAACAAAGTTTAATATTCATTATCCGGATTTGGCAGTTAATAATTAAAAGATCTAAGGCGCTAACGCTTACGTCAAATAACTAATCCCTCATTCTGCTTTACACCTACACGCGGAGAGCAATAGATAAGTAATCAGGCAAAGCAAGTTCGCGAGCTATCTTATATTGCGCCCACCTGATGCGCGGTACTAGAGTCGCAAAATAAATTGCCTACCCGGATCTCTACCAATTTCCCTGCTCTAACAAAATCTACCATAGTGTAAAACCATCTGTCATAGTTGAAAAACAATTTACTGTAGGTGAACTTCTCAACGGGTATTACTATACATGACATGCTACAAAAAATGCGTTATTATAAAAACAGGTGAACCCGAGCATACGAATGAAAATTCACAAAGCCGAACTAGCTGGCATCCTAGTTTTTACTACCAACGAATTTTCTCCATGCACATGGACTCGCCATTTCCGACTTTAATCGTGCCCCGTTTAAGCTATCAGAGCGCAATGACGGTTTGAATATTTCGAACGTCGAATTAATATCGGCGGTGAAGCTAATCAATGAACAGACTCGGACTTCTGCGATGAAGGCAAAGCTTCTGACCCTAAAATAAGTGTAGCGAGAATGATCCATGGCAGCAGAAATGGTATTTGAATAAAGGCACACGATTGGGTGTGTTTGCAAATGCATAAAAGCATTTTGGAACACCGTCACAGTCAGAGGCCATGTGCTTGACTAAAAGTTGATTGTGACATCCTTGCCCCAAGACAGTCCGTAGATCACCTGGGGTTCTCAGATGCCAAAACTTTCCTCTACTGCGACAAGTCAATAAAAAAACGGAAATAACAAGAGTTGACCGGCAGAAACGTGAACATCGAAACACTCTATTCTTAAAAAGTTTAATTTTACTTGGTTTTTTTTTCCTACTCTTCGACTAACAAATGCGATAATTAATACTCGTAATATTCGAACCTAATACGATATAATACAAGAATAGGTTCATAGATCAAGCATTTTTTCTTTAGTGGTTTCAAGTTTGTACTTGAAAGGTGCGTTTTCTGCATATTGGTTCACAGCAATTAACTGATGTTCAATGGTCCGGTTAACAGAACGGGATTAGTTAGCTAAAATTATCTATCATTTCTAAATCGAAAGCATCATCCATTGGATAAAAGCAAACATAGGTTATTTTATTCCCTTAATTCTTCAATTATGGAACTATGCGCAAAACAGGAGACTTCAAAAACCTCTCAGGTGGTTGATAAGAGCAATCTCTGTAAATAATCCATTAAACAAACTGCACTGTTGTTTATGGATTAGACCGCTCCAAACGCCCAATGACGAACAGTCTCGCAGCAATAGAAGTACGTGAGCCGTAACCAGCACAAACGATCGACTCGATTCGAAAATATAATTATCTCTTGTCTTTTCACAATTATTATACGGACTCTTTGTGTAAACAAAATTATCGCCTACCTATGTTTTTTCTCATGCCGTTCGCGGGTCTGGTTTTAGTTGCACTACTACCTCTGTTTAGCATCGGATGGGCAGGTAAATATTGACTTATTGCTATTAATTCACAGGCATTACCTTTACCAGATGTTTCAGAGTGCAAGACGGTATTACATCAAAGTGTATTATACTTTTCGATATGAACTACTTGAAACGATACACCGAAGAGGAATAGCAGAAAGGACAAGAACTATATTGGCTCACTTATAATCAGCTCTATAAAAAGTGACATTGATTATCTACCACTTAAACCCAAACATTAATAAGCTCTGCCTATAATAATAATAATAATAATAATGGCTATAATAAATATAATATAAGAATAATGGTAATGTAACCATTGATTATCCCACTGACGTTCACGTACTTCTTTCCTTCACGTGCAAGTACTTCTTTCTTAACGAAGGCATATACGGATTGGTAGAATAGTTCAATCCATAGGGTGGCATTTTCGCTTGTAACAACAGTCACACAATGGCCAGTGTTTGTTCGACGTTTCTTCATTAATACTAGTACTTCACTAGCCTCTTCTAAAATACCAAGCACCAATCTGTTAAGCATATAATTCAGAACGCCAAATAGCTGGCGCTGACAGTCAGGTTCGCTCGATGTAACAGCAAGATAAGCGAACTACATGGGGGTTCCTTGTACGGAGCAATGTATGCTTAGCATATATACCAGAAAGCAGATTAAGTCAGAAGTTCATGCTCTCTACAAAACCTAAACAACGCATTAATCATTCTAAAATAGGTGGAGGGTTAAAACGCAGCATCTGGAAGGTCAGCGATGAGTGTCACATCGGGTTTGTTTTTACGATTTTGTCTTTAAAGAAAATAAGGCATAGGCCCTCTTTCATCAACGCAGATGGCGAAACAATGCGCACAGAGCAACGCAGTGATAGAGGAACAAAACCGAAGCAGAACAGTAGGCCACTGTAAAAAAATATCAAGCACTGTTTTTAGACTTCTTGACATCAGTGTCTTACAGGTACTGCTATATATTATTTCGTTCATTCAATTTAGGCCAGCCAAAGCCATTCCAGCGAGTTTGACACGGCCATTTCCCGTTTTCACTGCCTGGTCAGCCATCTAACCCCAAACAATGTTCATATATAAGAGTAAAATCTGAATTCAGTGTTATTGAAAGCCACTGCATTGTATTTCTTACTGTGCTTAAAATTTTTTATGACCGCATTACTTTGGGTGATCCCTTGTACGCCTTTTTTGTCGCTCTTCCATATATCATCTTTTTTAGATGAAGGTGCACCATGTGGCATTATTTGCAGGTCATTACTACAAAACATTCCACCTAGCAAGCTCTCCTCGGAAGGAAAAAAGATCTCCAATAACCATGGGAGTCCTCCTTGTACTGACGATTGACCCTCAGTTATCACTATAACATTCTCTCAATACTTTCCTAGGGAAAGATGACTTAGGTCTACGGTAAGGAACATGCACTCCGACCACAACTACAGTTTCAGACGTTGATACTCTTATGTACTATATGATTTTTAAATTATGTAAATTTTAAAGAACGTTCACATATATTATTGTGAATAGTTCGTAGTGTTTCTGATAGGTTGCAGGCTTTTTGAACGCAGATATAACAACAATTAACGAAGCGGATAAAAATGATAAAAAGTTGAAGGTTCAAAGGACTATAGCAAAAGTGATACTCCATTGAGTGAGGGTGTAACAATCACATCGATAGGGTATAACTGCATGGTGCGTAATGGAAATTGCTAAACACGAAATGGCGCGCTGATCCGTAAAGCGTTTGCGATGTACCTTCCCCAGGACCGTGACTATATTTATTATGCTCTCCATACTGTCTCTACGTAATGGTCTTCACTTCAGAAATTGCAGCAGCCGTACACCTTATAAAGGTGATCAATAACAATTTGATAGTGAATTTGAAGTTTGATAATAGATAACAAAACTATCAGACTTACTCGGATGAGAATTATAGCATGTAAAATTCTCTACTAAGCATGTATCACTGACTAAACGTATCTGAATGTAAACGATCAACGACAATTGCGTCGCAATCCCTAATTAATAGACGATCAAGAGAATATGATTCATCTTATAAAGATTTGGAAAAATAGACAGTTTTCTGATTCAAACTTTGTCACACATAGACTTACCTGGCAAACTACCAGCGAATTGACTCGTTTCCTCGTATAAGACCTCATAGCAGAACTAATTATGAAACCAAATGGACATAAAAAAGGTACTCTCGTGGAATGTCAAGTCTTAACCTTAATTTGTTTCAGAGCATGTGTCGGGCGCGCTGACATTATACGATTGATTCACTCGTTTAAGCAGTCCATTGCTAAGCTCAATATGTTATGAAGCAAGTTACCAAATCTGCTGTTTATTTTTTACTATATGTAAAGAATTCATATATTAAAAGTATTATTGACTATAATTGGTTTTAATATCCCATCTTCACCAGTGGTGTTGGCATTGATGTACCGAGCAGTCAGAGAAAAAAGAGATGTATTTGGAGCAGCAATTACTAACAACTGTGTAAGCACGAGATGAGAATTGTTGGGTATAAGCCGTAAAAATGGTATAACAATAGCACTAATTATAATAATAAGTAAAAATACTAAATAGCGAAAATTGTTTAAAATAAATAATATCGTTTTTAGACTCATACATCACATAAATTAGTAGCATTCATTTAGCTATCTACAATAATATGCACGGTGCCAATCAAAAACGCTGAGTTCATTGTAAATATCTAGTGAAGAGAACTGGAAGATCGAAAGGAGCATACTAAGCTCTCAATTCAGGTGTTTTGGTGCAGCTACTTACTACGGATAGTGAATGGAACTCTGAGGTTGTCAACAGTTCGTTAATTTATGCTACAAGCGATCTCCAATTTAAGCTCGGGCTTGGTTAAGCCTGCACATAAACACAGAAAGGCATCTGGCTGGTTTTCGCGTTAAGTAAATAAGGCTGTTAATCAAAGGAGAGAAGGATTTTGTGCGTTTACAGGGTCTTCAACACAAGCCAAATAATCAAGTTTTAATAGAAAATAGTAATAGCAAATGGAAAGCGATGGATTTCAGCCATTACGACGAAAGGAGATTTATTGGTTCCTAGATACATACGTCAGTTCTTAGTAAATCGATCACTATTACAATGGGCAGAACAACGGCGATTAGCTGATTATTTATGTATGACTCTAAAAAACTATGTCAAATATCTCGAAACATTATAAGTAGTATTTTTTTTTTTATTTATAATATTTCTTTTCTGACAGCTTCGGTTGTTTTATGTAAAAGCAAGCACTGACAGAATAATCTCCAAAATCAATTACAGCGATGATGATTATCTGTGATGCCTTGCTGCACTTGCATCCTCTGGAAAACATGAAAGTGTCAGATTCCAGAGACAATTATGTTGCACAGAGGTGTCAAAACATACCTAGGCCTTGCGCTAGAGATCTACTGCGATCGATTTGCTAGAAACAGTCCGCCAACCCTAGAAAAATGTATCATGTCAGAATTGTTGCCGGTCTCGTCAAGGTCACACAGAATTTCTACCAATCCGTCACCCACGAGTAACCTATTATTTATTATTATTAATAACCTATTATTAAATGAAATTCAATAAATAAAAAATTCGTTGTTTATAGTATCTCTTTCATGTTTGCATACTGTTATTTACGATCAAATTAAGCATATGGAAAACGTTTTGTATTACATCAATGTAGTATAAAATTTAAACCTTCACTCGAAAAGCTGCCAAATAGTGTCAATAAAACTTCCCTATAAATATATCGTTCTGAGTTCAGAGACCTTAAATATCATTGTCTAGGTTTTTTACGAAATAAGTTGAAAATGTAAGGTTTTTTTCTGTTTCTTTTGCTGGTACTTTCGATCAGTTTTTACAGAGTATTACTGCTGAGTCATCGATGGTTCTGCTGGCGCTGTGTGTATATGGCACATAAGGTCAAGGTGCTTAAATATCGAAGAAAGCTATAGTTTATTATCAGTAAAATGGTCTCTCAGTAACTTTGTTAGACACTAGCAGCTCCAGTAAGTATATACGTACTTTTAATTGGTTGAGCTTATTATACGGCGATGTACATTGGTTAGAACTCCATCATATTTAAACACAGTTTTTTTTATCCACCAGGAGACTGCGCTTACATTATATTTATTCACAGCTATTTACTTTAATACCAGATTTGCCTTCCTCGAGCAGAGTTTACGAATAAATGAACCAAAATGATTTCGTCGATATTACATCGATACTTCTTCTAAACAGAACGAAAGGCATGAACTTCATTGATACATACATTAATCTAATAACAACAGAAAACTTCACACTTATCACTATAGGTTGATTGTGCCTATAGCTGATGGTAATTATATATCTCGTCGTAAAGCAGGGTAGCACCACCTTGTTTCAACGTATAGACTATTTTCAAAAGCTGACTAAGCATACGAGACATTTCTGTTGGAGGTTGGATACGTTTATATTTACAAATGTTTTTAACTTTGCATGTTCGAAATACATGCTAGATGAAATATCGCGCTGAAAGATGTACTGTCTAAGTCGTTGCTTGTAAACACCAGACTAAGTGTTGCATTGGGGCAGGATATTAACATTATCAACAGTAATCTCATAACTCATGGCCAGTCTTCTGATTAAATTAGACAACAGGTTGGTCGATAGTGAAACACAACACGCAAATAAACACGCTGCTGATAGTTAACGCCTGTTCTATTAATAGACGTATTCATGTGAAAATAATGCTGAACCAAGTTCTACTGTAAATATTTACTCTGATAAAGATATTTACAATCTTGCTAACCTAGACATTTGAAACCAACGATTATCAATATTCAATTTGATCTTCGCAAAATGCGGTTGTCGTTTGTTTATCAGTAGTTGCTGTACGCAAATATTTGACCTAAATGAACCCCCACGTCGTTCACGGGGAGCCAACAAAACTGCTAATTTAGTATATAACGCGGTTTTAAACGTAAAATTCGCGGAAATCTCTCTAACAAATAGATAATTAATATGAGATCAATTTGTGTGTTCATATTCAGACTACAAAAGAAAAAAGAAAAGCTGTTTAATTGGATTTCATCAAAGACGACTGCAGGTACGAAATGCAAAAACCACGGCAGAGCTTGAGGGTTTTATTAGTATCCAAAAAAATGCTTCTAACGAAGCAATAAAAGGCAGAGCCTAACATTTGATTTCATGTATCTAGGTTGTAACAATAAACCAATACAATGGGAAGGCAATTCCAAATAATTCCTCGTCATTTGGTCAATGAAGACACCAAGCAGGCTTGGCTAAACTAACATCCACACCACTGTTATGAATTTATTATTTCTAGCTTTGTGACAACAACGCCGTCAAACGTTATCACTATTATCGATTTAAAATATAGAAAAATAAGTTAAGTAAACTCATTCACAGTACTTTTGTAGCATCATATGTGCAAATTCCATCTTTATAATTTCACTATCGATATATATATATCATGTCAGCTGACGTTTATACAGAACGACACCATATCGCGTGGCGCTAGTTGAGTCGCAGTTGTACCTTTTATACTACGTTCTAGGTGCATCTGTCACGATATACGTGTGTGCAGTATTGATTTGTTATCGTTTTGCCTGCTCCTATAATTTTTGTATAGTCACAGATAATATTGCTTGAAACCAAAAGAATAGAATTGAGGGTCGATGCTATAATAATAACAATAATAATAATAATAACGGTTACTAACAACATGTTAAAGACATATTCGAACAAAATCGAGGTGAATATTTAGGAGTCCCTAGGCGGATTACGTTATATAACTATAAATATATGAGCGACCACACTCGAGATCAACAGATAGTGTTTAAATGAAAAGAAACCTGTTTATTGATGTACCTTTGTAAAGAACATTTCACTGTGATTGATAAGGAAAACTTCGTTGATAACAGACCTGAGAATGAAGGAAATCATTTTTTCAATAAACTTTTTTCAAAGCGTAAGCCCACTAAAGCATACACACATTCAACGCATTTAAGAAAAAGGTGTCTAAAAAAACAGCCCATTTACTGTTTATTTCTTAGAAAAATCACATAAAGTATTATGTAGATTCCGTATTTGCTTGCAATAATCTATATGAAGTGGCTTTCATCATCTGACATCTTCGTTAAATAGATTGAAAGGATTATTTTGTTTAAAACAAGTCTCTAAAACAATATCGTTATTCTATGAAATGCTAGCACCGGCCAGAACCTTTTAGCTGTGGACTGGGCATTCCTGATATAGTTTTACAGTAGGACTATAATAAGTATTATTTCTGAGGCGTATCTTTAGTATTTGCAAACAGCAAACTAGTAAAATAAAAAATTGATTTTAATTAAAAGCCTTGGCAATATTGCTAGAAATGGAAAATCCTGCTTTGGAAGGTACCTCTAACAAAATCTAACATTTTTAACGCTCGATCCGTTAATTTAGCTTGAAATCGTTCATATAGTAGGTAAAATCGTGTTGCTTGGAGTTTCCGGCCTAGTTCTACACACCATTCAACAAAACAACCCCTGCCAAAAACGCTTAGAGTGTTTTGCCGCCTATTCTATTCGTGATAACCTAAAAAAAATATACTTTTACCTTAATATTATCGGCAGATTGGTTCCTTAAAGTGAGCTTGTTAGGTATTCTAATTTTTGAAAGACTGTTTGTTCAATGGCTGTTCAATTATCAAAAAGTTCTTAATTGACCGCAGGTGCATCTTTAAATCCACTCAAAAAAGAAGGACCGTCGGGGGTGTTCCCTCCAGATGGATGACTAACATGATAACATGACTTTTGCATTTCTTCAATGACCTAATAGGCTGTGTGTAGAGTATAATCCATTTCTTATAGGAGCCCTTTATCTCCTCCTAGGAACAGCTTCTGCTAACATATCGAAGCTTAAAGTATTTTTAGGTTGGCTCTTTTACTATAAGGAATGTCTAGTGACTGGCTTGTCGGCACCATTACACCAACTTATTTATACTCTTTCATAAACTTCTGGTGGAAGTTTCTGAACAAGTATAGCATCTCCTTTAACTGATCCGTTGGAGGAAGAATTGTGGTTCTGAAAATGAAAATAAATATAAGGGGCCTTTTGGTTAAAAATGTCATACTGTCAATGTGAGTTGCTTCAAACGCCATAAAAATAATAAAAAAAAAATATATATATATATATATATATATATATATATATATATAGATACAATTAAAATCAAAATGTCTTTTAAAAGCGTTATTATAACTGGATGATAGGCGAGATGGAGATGTCATCTTTCACTACACAAAGAAAAAATGCATCTTGGCCAATTTTACTTGCTCCTTTCAATGCTTACCTAAAGTGAAATGTACCGGGCTTCTGGCCGAACCCGGAGCCAGGAACAACGCATATACCGGTCTCTTCCAGTAACTGTTTAACATAAAAAAAGTCTGGTTGCTGATTTAGAGATTCAGCCTTTTTAATGGCCCTCTGCGGAAGCGAGAGCCTGGGGAAAGCGTACATTGCCCCAGCAACTGGATTACATTTGAAGCCTTCAAATGTATTGAATGTACTAGCCACCATTTTTGCTTTGATGCGAAGCTGCTCAAGAACAGCTTCCTTTTCTTTAACAAACAATTCATATGACGGGTCGCCCTGGACTGGTGGCTTGACAACACAATCCATTGCAGCCTGTCCCAAGACTGTCGAACATAATTTGGCAGAAATTGACTTCAAAAGTACTTTCTTTACTTCAGGGTCGAAATTCACGAGTTCCATATAACCTCCACGAAGACCGCACCTGTACAGCGAATATACAACCGGATACTAATATGATAGCGAAACGCTTGAATCACTGTCGTTCCTCTTTAGAGGAAAACCTATAATGTACCTACATAGCATAGTCTTGCAGTCAGACTTGAATTCAATTGTTTCCTTGATATTCCTTTTCACATACAAACTTTTTTTGTTATATATATATATATATATATACAACATAGAATCAGGCATTAGCCTCTTGTGTGACAGAATGTGATTAATAATAGAAAAAGGGTTTATAAAACATTTTCTTTTTATACCGTCAGTTTTCTTATTCGGTTGAACCAGTATTTTGAATTATTAGTTCGCGCTATATGATCTGCTTTTTGGTAAAAAGGTACTAATCCCTACGTCTCTATGACCACATCTTTCGCGTTTTGTGAACCTTGTGAAGTATACTCACTCTCCCATGAACCCTTTTGAACATGACATGAACGACACAAGTTCAGATTTGTTGAAAGGAGCTCCCATCTCGTAATGCACTTTCCGGAACGAATAAAACTTCCCAATCCAGACATTGTGCTGGTACACTTCATCAGCTAAGAGCACAAGCTTGTATTTGTGCGCAAATTTGATGATTTCCTTAATGTTTGCTTCGGATAGTACCGATCCTATAATGGAACAAACAGTAATATCACTTTTGCCATCCACAACAACATTTGACATTTACCTACGTCGTTTATCCTAATTAATATATATCCTAATTTAATATTTGAGCATGACAAATTATTCGCTCCTAGCAACAATGAATACTGCAGCTGCTGTTTAGGCCGCAAAACGTGCTGTTTAACATATCTTGGTGTGGTATGTCTGTGAACGTAAATATACTGTGTATGCACATTCTCGCAAATGAATATATATGTATGTATGAGAGAATCGGTCGCAGTTGCTTACCAGTAGGGTTGCCGGGATTAATGATAACGATGGCCCTAGGGTAAATACACTTTCTTTTGGCGTCCTTAATTGAGCGCTCCAACTCGCTAATATTCAAAGCCCAATTATTGTCCTCGTCTAGATAGTACGGAATCTGTCCCATATCATATTCTGCCAAGGTCGCCGTATATAGAGGATACTGCGGAATAGGGATCATAACTCCGGGCTGCTGCCCATTAATCGGCTCGTTCAACAATGACAGGACTGACTGTTACACAATAACAACGACAACAACGGTATAAAAAGTAAGAAAAGCGTAAAAAAAAAAGCATTACAAAAAGATATGTTCAATACGGTGGTCGACTCAGCTAGATATTTGGCGGAAGCCCGTCCTGTGCCATTAGATCACCCCGCCCCATTGCAATAGATCACAGATTGAAAAGCTCGCATGCCTTTTTCAAAGCACAAATGTCTTTAATTTAACTTCTACTCAAGATACAATGGTATAGCACTTCATATGGTTTAGCCTAGCTACGTTATAAAATCTGTGTGTACATGTCTTCGCAGACTCATATATGTAGAAAACATACCCTGATTGCTTCGCTAGCTCCGCCCTGAAGCACAATGTTTTCAGGTCGAGTGTCAACTCCATCTCGATTTGAAATAAATTCCGCAACGTGCTGTTTGATGATTGGAACACCCGCGCTGTCACTATATGCTCCAACGGATTGGCCTCCACAGGACTCCAATATTAGTCTGGCACGCTTGCGCACATCGGACGGGAATGTATCCGAGCTTAAAAACTGATCTGGCAGTACGCACGTGGCAAGAACCTAATGAAACATATGGTGCAAAAAGTATTACAAGTCAAATTTGTGTGCTTGATCATTTTGATTGCATAGCTGGACTATGTACAAGCCGGACAGGAAGTGCAGCCCTACGGGGCAATAAATCAACTGAGTTCATCAAGATCGAACTTAAACTTCGATCGAACTTCTCTATTTCCGGGGAATTGGAACAATGCGTACTACTTATTTTTTAATACACTCTACGCGTGTATTAAAGCAAAGCAAATGTTTACTGACCATTCTTCTATCAAGTTCTAGTCCTGTCAACTCTGGCCAAATCCGCAGTTTATTTATTAGACTTACTACGATGCAAGCGTATTTTTCAGAAAATTCTCCAGGACAAGGTAGTGGCAGTTACTTGTGTCATCCTTGCTACTTGCATAAACAGAATTTATGATTATTATTATTTAATTATTTCCATTAAGTACTATAGCAACGACTCACCACTTCAGTTTCCTGCTGCTAATTCAATTATCAAATTGCATCCTTTTATTATTAGCTAGCATGATTTTAGTTGCACAGCTCTGATTTGTCGTTCAAGCAATGCACAACCGTTGCACTTTCAGCATCTTCTAATATTCGAGAAGGACTGCTTAGTCATTAATAGCATATAAATAACCCTGACCACAGTACTCTTCAATTCAAATTTAAATTGGAAATCGAAAGCATCCTTGTACTACAAAACAGTCCTCTCTTGACGCCATACATAATCTCTAAGTTTTTGTTTTTACTCGAAAAAGTGTATTTGTCAATATAGTATTTTTGTCAGTTAATTTACTGTGTTTGGCCTTAAACGCTAGATCCCCTAACCTTCATTGCGGGGCTCTAAACGGTTCTTCTTTAGAATGTAAAGAAGCCCTGTGCGGGACAGAATACACTGAGCTTTTCATACCAATGGTACGAACAGGCTGTTATATCACATGGTCGACAGGACTTCATATTCTTGCACGTGTGCTATTATCAACGTTCATTTAATAATATTAATAATAATAATATCTACGCTAGTTCCTCACTTGTCGAATGAAAGTGATCGCTTTTTGGCCCGTTGCATGGCAGTCTCCAATGTTGCTACGTATCACCTGTTTAAATGGAAGTGACCCCGGCTGGAACACAGAATAAAAAGGGAGTTAATTAGATCTAACTAAATAAACGACGCTTTCACGATATGACGGAATAATAAATATTATCATGCTAAGTGTATGGTATTACAAGCAGGACCTTATCTGTAACTCATCTGTACATTATGCAGTATTACATATTAAAAATAAATAAAGGGGTTGATTAGTTTTTTGTGCTTAAGCAAACTTATATGCGAATTTTCCAGAGTTGTTCGGTGGCATTGTCGGGGCATCAAAAGAATATACGTAACTCAAAGTCTGCAAAAAATGACTCCTTCATGGAAGATGGTGGTTGTACTCGATAATTTTTTAATAGCACGACCTAAAATATATTATTGACTGCAGGTTAGCAAATACTAATGTCAATAATTTACTGATACTAAAGGTACATTTGTAATATGCAAAGGTAGTACACCTTGATAATTAATTCGTTATGCAGACCACAGCTCACCCGCTAAACCTTAAACTTCATGTCGTTAAGCCTTGGTTCGTAACATATTTTAATACAACTTTCAATTAGAACGGAACGCAAGCGTCTATCACAACTGACATACTTTCGGTAGCTTTCTACCGAATTTCAAGTGCTGTATAGTTTAACTAGACCTGTCCACCAATGTTGTCCAAAAGTTTCATATACGCTACTGCTTAAAGCTAAAAATATCAGTCTAAATCTAAAACGCTAAATTTTAATAATAATGAATAGTGCATTTATGCATTGTTAAATAGTAAAAGAAAAGCCATTGAGTTGTACTTCGAAAACTGCAAGGCATGTAGTTTTACCATAAATGTGTTAAATTCAGTCCCCTTGTGAATCACGTCTACGGCTACCGTTGACCCCACCACTCACTGTGTTCAACACAGGGACTTACACACGCTTAAAGCTGTGCAAGGCTTATGGCTTCTGAAGTAGCCCATCCTGTTCTTAATCGAATACAACAGCAAGTGAGAGTGCAAAACAACGACTGTCATATGGCAGCCTACTTAGTGGCAGTCATTCGAAGCCTGGTCGCTGTTCGATCCTTCGTATTCCGAATAAATCATGACAGGTCCTGCAAGATTTTTCGCATCTTGTTCTACTGAGGCGAACAGAAGTGTCAGGTGGGAAAACCTGCTATGGAAGTGTTGTTGCCAAAGTCACGCCGTACGATGAGCTCTTTCATCGAAGCGCAGTTACTACACAAAAATAAACATGGGAGAATCTAAGCCTCGACAGGATACTAGCTCCCCTGTATCTGGAGCTCTTGTATGGCGACTATGTGAGGATATTCTACGTGCAGATACCTTTCAACGACCAACTGGTATTAATATAGTGGAACCTTTTTGAGAAAACAAGATTGGGCGCATCAAATGAAACGTATTAGCATGCAAATAAGGCGCAGACAGAGAGTACAGCTATAGTACCGTACTAAGTAAAATTATGTTGCACAGTAATACTACCAAAGGTATTGATACAGTATTGTATATTTCATAAAGATATTTCATAAAGTAGGTATAATTTACAAAAAATTAACTTAGCCTGACGTTAATTTAAAGCTGCTCGAAAACGTCCCCATTAAGTCCATACAATACACAGCGAATTTTCAAGGTAAATGGTAATTATCAAAAGCTACATTGGAACTTATATAAGTGGATCTGACTTCTCATTTCTGTAAATTTCTAGATATCAAAACAAGAACAACGGCCGACCAAAAGAGCTAACGCTATGCTGTACTTTTCTACTGTCTATGACTGGGTAAATACAATGCTTCAAAGCCAGTTCAACTGAATCGAGTCACAATACTCCAACTTTTCTTAGACCTGTTTGTCTCAACGGCCGCTTCGAATGAGAACTGTTCGGTGACTAACGTCTGACGCCTATTTGGAAAGGGTAGCAGCAGTACCATATAAACTGTTGAATATTTTTCAGTTTCAGGAACTTGCGCTGTATGTATACCATGAGTTCGGCTTGCCAGCACGATACGAATGACGAGTGACGAGCGTCTCGGCGAAGACAAAGAAGGGTTTATAGACACTAGCGAGTCTAGACATCAAACTGCCCTCCTGTAGCTTACATCGCGACATTTATCCGCGCGCGCGCGATCTGCGGCCGAAGACAAAGCTCTTTATTATCAGTTTGCTTGTTTTTGGACACTCGGCTTGGTCGGGCCAGTCGCTTGTCACCGCGCGGGCGCACACATCAGTCCGTGATAGTGCCTTTTTCCGTGCTAATGCCACCATATAACTCACGTTTTATTATGTCTTTATTGTCACATACAATTTAGGCGTCGACTTATGCATGGTTAAACGCTAGTTGCTTGGACAATATGAAACGTTGACCCCATTTTCTTCTATGTTAATCCATTGACAGTGACCCTTCACGCACTCCTACAAAGGTGTGAATAATGTGCGTACTACTGCAGCGACAAATAGGTCTTTAGATTCATTGCCATTTTCATTATAATGCTTGGTAGTGCTCAAACTACTGGCGGTCTTTTTGTTAGTATATCATCTTTACTTTACCGGCTCCGGATTTCTTGGCTTACCTTGTCCTTGAGCTGACGCTCGATTTCGCCTGCCCGGATCACAATTGGACCTCGGACTGCGTACTCCATCACACGGAGATTCTTGTTAGTGTCCTCAAATCTGATCACATTACCCTCCATCTTTGTTGAAGTCGTATGAAGTTGCTGAAATAGCTGTTGCTGCCAGACCTTTTGCGAGGATCGCTGTGCGGTTCCAAGTTTACTAAAAGAAAACAGGGGCACAGTCTTTTGTAACTGTAAGGCTGACTGTGTTGCCGCTTGTATCGACGTACTGGAAGCCGCCAATGAAGAGGTTCTGACGGCCGTTGGAACAGAATCAGCGGTACACGTCGTTATTCCAGTGATAGCTGTTCCCCTGTTACTGTTTACCGCAACAACAATTCTTGTCGTTGTTCCTATTACGGCCCCTGTCGCTTTGGCTGTCGCCGTGGCTTTAGCAGTCAGCTGAGCTGCAGCGGCGGCAGCAGCGCTGCGTTGGCTGCTACGGCCGCTCAGTCCTGAGCCAGCGGCGTCGGCCAGTGACGTCATAGCGCGCGACAACATGATGGTAGCGGTATCGACGGTGGCGCTGGACGGAGGCGGCGGGAAAGCCGCGAAGGTGAGGGAGCGAACGAATACCCCCGCACACAGTACGTTCGCGCACACAGTACAGTAGCTGGATAGTTACCCCGCAGTAATATTAAAAGAAGGCGGCGTGAGACATTCTCTTACAGAATTGGTGGATTGACGAGCAGGGGTAGGCGCGAAATTATTGCAAAGCCTTGAAAATGCAAATGGCGCAGGAGAATACACGACAGTTTTACCACATATATATAAGGGGCATAGTCCCTAGGCTCGGTGTATCCTCACACACAAACACACTCGCGGAGCTAAACACAACCGCGCAGAAGATACCAACAGCAGCGACACCAGCGACGCCACGAAAGCCAACTTATACACAAACCAGCCGTCGCATGTTTTCGTTCTTCTCACGATTGCCCTGTTCTTGGCAGAACGACCATCATTCGAGTTCATCACCAGCGATCGGGCAGAATCTATTCGCAGTGGTTGTAATAACAACGCCAGAAGCACGCACAATCTGAGTTTTTTTTTGCTTTTCTTACTAAACACAGAGGCACAATTCCGGCAGCAAAGCGAGGCAGACAAAAGCGAACAGTTGGGGCGAAGCAACTTACCCGATCGGAGTCACAAGACCCCCTTGTAAATAGTTGTACGAATAGCCGCCAGGTCACTGTCGGTCAACAAGTCGTTAGTCTCACATTGTGATACTCAGAATGAGCAGATGGTACCGCTCTGTACCGCGCCGAAGGAAATCTGGGCCAGTTTCCATAGGACAGCCGGCGGCCTTGAGAAAATTTCCCCCTCGCCATCGAACCACAGCTAACTGGCACCGACCTGGATCGAGCGGCAAGATTTAAAATGTGATGCGCGCGCTCAGTAGTAAATCGGGTCGGATCAGGCCAAACACTGTGATAAAAACCAATTACCCTAACCACTGACGTAGCCAACCAATGACTATTATTTGACGCTTGACCATGTTTCATTTACCTCTATTTCAAAAGAATAATAAATAAATAAAGGTAAAGAATGCACACTCGGTAACGGTTCGGTGAAAATAAACATATGTAGCGAAACAGAAATGCTCATTCATGATTGGAATGTTTTTTTTATATAGAAATCGGGTTACAATCGAGAATTATCTCCGCGTGTGCTAAAATTCTCTCTTGCTGATAAGACAAACGTAGGAAGGCTAACAGTATCAGTTTGTTTTGCGATATGACCCAGCGATATTTTTGATAAATGCTCGAGCGTCGTCTCGAAAATCTTTGTCTCACTGGACGCGACTGGTTGCATGCAGCCAGCGCCAGTAAAAGAAACACCTATCTCTCTAATAACGAGATAAGCACAATTTTGTGGTTGAAGCGAAGCATGATGAGAGTTAAATACAGGCGGAAACTTATTGGAATAGAAACTCGAGAATAAGCTAGTCGAAAGAGATACCGGTAGGAACTCCAAATTAAATAAGCAGAAATAAAGCGAATACTTGCTTTAATTTCAGTCTTAATACACAAATCTGTGTGTGCATAGGCAAATGCAGGGCGATTTTAAAAGGTGCCTAGAGTTGCAGTGAATATCGAGCTCACGCGTGGATCTTCAACGCAGAGATACCGAGGAAATATAGATTAAAATAGGTCGATAGGGGAAGCGGGCCGGCCGGTTATCCAGGGATACGGGAGTAGCGCTAACACGTCTACGCTGAGCGATGCGCTTCTCGGACACCATTCACACAGAGGTAGGGCGGTCCTTGCTGGTCTGTAGCTTGTGATAAGATCAACCCCTGCCCCCTTTCCTCGATGCAGATTTAAAGGCGATTTCAAGCCGAGCTGTAACACAATCTCGAAGCACGGTATTATTAGCCGTCAGCAACCAGCGCACTAAATATAACCATATTATATAGGTGTAAAAATTATCAGAGAAACCTTATATATTTTTCGTTTATGACAAAAATTCACAACGCCATTTGTAATACTATATACTCTAACACGCATGTGTCACTATCTCTTTATTACATTCTAGATTATGAACCATAATATAGAAATACCGTTTCCGGAAAGGAAAAGTAATTCCTAATGTCACATAAATAGATGTGTCTTATAATGTGCTTGAAAAGTTAAACATGTTAACGTTAGTGTTTAGAAGAGCTAATTAGTGTCAAGATTTTATTCAGTATTTAACCATTTCCTAATTTCAAAAGAAATTTCAGCTCTTTTAGAACTACTAAAATGCTTTTTAGTTGAAGATTTCAATTACATCGCACGTGAGGCCGCTGTTACTATGATCATCAGTAAGTAATACATAAATACTGAAACGGTCTCACTTCTACCGTGCTGCTGCTCAGCCAGCAATTAACCACACTTTTTTTTTTTACCTATCTCACTTACAGAAAAAACTGGAAGTTTATAGGCGTTCACTAATAGCCATTTTCTTGTAAACATTCCTTGACTCTCTTATAGGAAGCAGTGCAAAATTCCAAAATGATCTCAACGGGATATCTTAACTCTCCCACCCTAAATAGGAGGGCCCCGACCTAGGAGGTGATTAAGTTATCACCAACCTAGAACCACCTAACAGCTTACCAGAGAAACCCCGACAACTTTAATCTCCTATATTGCACTTACAAGTTTGTTAATAAAGTAAATTATTATACTATAGTGCATGCAGAATATTTTACCATCTGCTGGCTTAGCAAAACAATTAAAACGCTACTATTAAAATGAAGCCTTGCTCCTACATAAACGTTTTTTTATTATTTCTAGTAGCACATTTATTGCGATATATCCCTATCTATATTCAACAAACTAACTCACGTTTTGTTTTCATACTACAGATATACTTATTTTTTATTCTAATAATATAATCATTATCCGGGTTGATCGTATGCATTCATCTAGATTCCACCTTTACTTTTAGTACTTTTCATCATCATCATTGTTACTATTATAAAAAGAGGTTATTATGAATCGCACACATTCTATATATATTCTCCTTCAGATTAAGTATTTTCAGTTATTTATTCAGTATGAATCAACCAAGCAGGTTCCCTGATTCTTTTTCTTTTCGTTCTGTTTGTCAACTTTTCTCTCAAATTATGTCTACTAGTTCGAGTTAAAATATTTTTCTTAGTGTTAATAGTATCTTCACGTAGAGTTTATACATTCGCACTCGCTTTCGCAAATTTTATTTTTGAAAAAAAATCGCCGTTTGTCTATTTTGTAACCATGTTTAACAACAAGCTTATTCTCGAAACATTTTTTGTTTTTTGTACCTGAAGGAGCCTTCGTTTTCTGCTCTTCGTCTATTTTTAGTCTATCCCAAATATACCCAAAAATATTGTCCGTATCCGCGCCTACCAACCGCTCAATCGTACTGACCATAGCAGCGTGAGAGAGCAAACCTAATTGAAGTAATTAGGTTACACTTATCCTAAGTAAAATAATATTAGTAGCAAACAATTACAATCACTATTGTTTCACTGATGAACTGACGTACTGCCGATTATAATTAAATTTAGGCATTCAACTCTATCGTTTAGTTATTGTTCAGACATCTACGCTTTTTCAAACAGGTTCATCCTGACTTTTAGCCTCGAATTGGCCTCTTGCAATCTGTGTTCAATCTCCACTAACCTTTTTTTCTGCAATTTCTTTTGTTCACAAAGAAAGCTAACCGTCATACCACATACAGTATTTCTCCGTATTATATATGCTGTAACAATTGCCTGCAACACGCTATTTGCTTCTTGGTTTGCGGAGATTAAGATAATAGAGACTCATACTAGCATCCTTCTCTATAGCAGTCGCCTAGTCAATTAAACACACGACAGTTGATTATGCCGGTGTACACCGTTTGATTAAAAGTATTGTGCAGATGATGTTCCTAGACATATTTTCACGGTTCTCTGACCATAGGTCGTGACATCATCCAGGGTACTGAATTCCTACCCAGTTGCTTTCTCTCACACATCGACGCCCATTAGAGCGTTATTTCGAGCATTAAGGCATCTAAATCTGCATGGCGATAGGCTGCCAACGATCAGAAACCAGCCACGCACAAGCTCGACGTAATCGAGGATCAAGAAAATGTTGCCATGATAATAATAACTATTAACAATAATAATTGAGGTGATAATTAAAAGTAATAATACTCAAATAATGTTATACGCTTGCTTTTTAGCCGGGGGAAGTACATCTCAGCCAATAATTAAACCAATCCCAAATCGTGACTGTGCTTTGGCATGGTTAAGCATGGCAGACAACGAAAATGTAAAGGGCAATGGCGCAAGCTTTTTTTCCATAACAGCTCCTACTGTCCATGACGAGTCGACCATACCGCGAAAGACGAGGTTTGCCTAAAACGATGCACGAAGTAAACAAGATTTACGACATTTAAAGAAGCGATTTTCGATGAATATGCAAAAAACGATAGAGCTTTTTGGGGTCTCCGCATGATGGTGGTGACGAAGTTAGAGGATTTTCACTATCTTAGAAACACCTATATTCGATGAGAACATCGTTGAATCTAACGCTTAGACACCGATATCCACCGCTTCTGGACATTGATTCTGTGGATAATTTAGAATTCTGCTCATCTGCATTTGTATTTCGTAAACTTAATATCATACGCTGTTTAATCGGAAAGATCTACTCACCTTTGGCACATCCAACTGGTAGGCCAAAGTGGCAAGGCTCTCTCCCACACGAAGGTTCGTCTCGACTTCCACTCCAACTTGTGTTGACTCATTTGTTCGCAGATAGTACGATGCATGGATAGCGCTCATCCCGAGAGTTCCAGCAACCACATAATTGTCACCGGTGTAACGACCCACCATGGAGACAACCGATATATAACCACCAGGAACGGCAGGCGAATACTGGTGGAGCCATTCCGCCCCGAGCGCCACCCTGGGCCGAACATTCTGTAAATACTGACCGACCAGTATTCCTGAACGGTTGTTCAAGTCAATATTGGCGCCTGTTAAGGTCCCCGTGTAATTGGTACCGCGATACTCGCCTGAATACTGCACCGAGCCAAACATGCCATCTTGAATTTGAACAATCATCTTGCCTTTTAGGTTCTCTGTCAAGTGTGCCAGGCAGTGCGCATTCAAATTGCCCGACGGATCCATGTCTCCAGTAAGGAGAACGCTAGGTTCTGGGGGAGCACCCAAAGCTGTTGTAATTGGATTGCCACAAAATGTGGCACCAAATCGGTATCCATTGAGCTGTTTGTTATTGGTAATATTTAAAGAATGTGTAACTTGAAAACTATTGCTAAGGCCCTTTGAGAGTATCAACCGGCCACCTTCAAAGAGTACAGGAGCGATCTCCTTGACGCGCTTGTGAAGGTCCTCGAGTGGTCCAGGATTTGCTGGCAGCTCAATCTTCACATTCGACTCACTCTTCTAAAACACCACCGGAGGACAGAAATGCAGGACAGAAAACAATAAACGATATTTAATAATATTCCTATTATTAAAACAGCTGTCAGCGCACTGGAAGTACGCTGATAGTGGGCGGCTACCGACCGTTATGTAAAATCAATGCCTCTGCCCTTTCTTATGATCATTTAAACTTGGAATGAATAAAAATGATTATTTAGATGAACCATGTGCGATCAAGCAGTACTTCATGCACCCATCTGTGTACAAGCGACGATAAGTTGCTTAGTATTTTTGTGAGGCGAGCGTACCTGACTAGGAGGTGGGCTTCTTTCGTTGAGGTCCGGAGGTGGCGTGAAGACTGGCGGTGGTGGAGAAGTTGGCATCGACTGAGTCTGTACATTCCCCATGGCTAAAAAATACACAGTTCTTTAAATATGGTACATTCCCCATGGCTAAAAGTACACAATTTTTTAAATATGGAATCGTCAGTTAATGAATTCTTACTAATAAGGCACACAGATCATTTAATTCAGCTCATCTATTTTTCCTACTTTCATTAAGAGCTATAGTAGCTATTAAAAACACGATTTCTAACAATGCCCGATACGGCTTCCCCTCTATTAATTATATATTACAGCTTTAATTGTTTCATTTCACATATTCGTGAACATACTTCTGAATACATTTACCTTTCTTCATTTACATTTCTTACATTTACCGAGCTGTACGCTCTCGCTTATCTCAGTTCCAAAATACATTAAAAGGCTACCTAAATTCCAACGCTGCAACTTTAGAGTTTCATGTATTGCATTGTAAACTGAAACAAAATTCAATTACTTAAACGAAGACTGTCTAAATTAAAAAAATGCCTACGCCAATACTTATGAGTCGGCACGTGTTACTACAAATTCGTGTTGCAGCGGCGAAAACACGTTACACACGAAACAATGAAAATCTGAAGCAGATCAACGGAACAACAGCAAGCTTTGATGGTAGATTCCGCTAAGACCGAAGAATCGATTCAGTAGAACACGGTGGTATCATTCAACGTTTTTGTAAGCCAGCTTCCAATTCATGTGTGCTTATATTTACGTTGTATATATTTTCTCCACTTTTATTTTACGACGCGATCAACAAGCTCGGTTCAGCAATGTATGCCGCAACTATTTTAAGACATTGTATTATAGGGATATACATGATATCGTCAGTTGCAAAAACCCATTTATGCTCTTGACCAAGCTCTCGTTCGCTGGCATCCCAAACGGCAATTAGTGAGTGGGCTGCGCGAATATCGAGCGTGTCACGGCAGGGTGTTCGTCACTCGACACAATGCGCGTCATAGTTGCACCTAACACATCAGCTATGTACTGTTTTTCACCGGCCCAGCGTCTGTCTACCTCGTGCGATATGAACGTACCTGATTATTATCTATACGATGTACGATAGGGGCCGATGAAGCGAAGCGGCGACGACAGAACTGTGAGATGTTCAAATTTTTGGGCTCACAACGTGCCTGTGTGTATGTTACTGCTCTCGCCTACACACTAACTCGCGGAACGGCAACAAACATTAGAAAAGCGCCGCCGTCGCGAAACACACAAAGATGAGGGAAGCTTCATTTCCCGCAAAGATTATCACTCCGCCAACGCACGATTATCCTATTAGATTGTAACGTCTCTGTGAAGTCCCAAGAAATAAGGCCACTACCAAATGGTAAATGATTCATTGAAATTTGAGATTATTATTACATTTGCCATTTGCTATTTATAGTGGCAATAAGCAGAGTTCAGAGGCCTCAAACCAATAGAGGATACAGTTGCTCCACAGGTTCCAGTCATCTAAACGACGGATACTGCCGTGGCATAGATTAAAAATGGCGATGATCTCAGATGTAGAAGTAACGTTCGATGGTCGATGTCTGTACTCTGTGTGTCATGACGATGGGCAACGTTGTGTTTGCTAGAAGAATATCCATGTTGTGATATAGTTTTTGGTGATTGGACAATAAGGGATTGGCGCCAAGTGCAGCGGTGGCCAGCCTAATCGAGGATGGCTACGAGCACCGAAACATCCCGAAATCATGTATAGCACAGCACGGAGAGAATTCAGGAAAATAATGTTTTGAAGAGGTAAATTGGAGCGAAAAAGGCCTTAATCCAGCAGTAATAAACAAACAAGGTTTTAGTTAAAGGAAAACGCTGATGCATAATTAAAACATTAAGCTATTATGTAGCTGACTGAACCACAGCATCATTCTGAAGTGTGATATAGGTTTGATGTGACTCGCTCAGGGTGTAATTATTACTAAAATAAAACTAAATTTTTTAGCAAATAGTATTTGCGAATCATCGATTCTCATAAATCAATCCCTTAATAAATTGCCGTATTTATATTACTCAGTTCTGATATATCTATGCCTGAAGCTGATGTAGCTCATTAATAATGTCAGTCTAATTGTGCATTTGGCAGATCTAATTGATTTATTCATATATCTTTTCAGTAAAAAATTACAGCTAGGGTCGTATCCCAGTTATTTAAAAACTATCCATTAAGTAAACAATATTGTGCGACAGAATTCCCGGGGCACAAATTCAAGCACGATGTCGTTTTGGGTTGACTGTTTACTTAAGTCAGTCGCTCATGTCAAAATTTCAACAGACTGATCGTGGACCGGAGCATCGTCAAACCGCGTCGCTTTTACTGAACAGTTACAGGAAACTTATGTTTTCTCAATTTGTATATATGTCGTCCAAACTAATCTAAAGCATTATGGATTATTCAGGAATAAATTGCAAATACACCCACCGTAGCGCAGCGTCTGTACGTCCAGAAAACAAAGTTGGTCGTGTGTCAAAAAGTTGTCTCACTTACCTTAGTATTTCTGAACTTCACCGATGTCTGTTCAGTTTTCATGATTATATTGTAACACGGTTGTTACTATGATCTTGCTGTAATTTCAAAAATAGGATAAACCCATACTCAGTATTCAATATCTGTATATCAAAAGACAAACGCATGGCCATGACGTGCTCGCGGCGGTGTTGGACATCTTTAATGCGCGCTCCAACCCGCAGCGGCGGAAAGGCAGTCAAGCTGCGAGAATGAACCAGCTAGAAAGAACAGCATGGGCTAATGAACCGCTTGCTGCAGAAACAGTACCTTTGCAATATATTATTTTTGCTCATATTATTGTTGATATTGTTGCGGCATATTGCGATAGGGCTGCTATTAGAAGTGTTGTCATTTCGTGCAGTAGGGGTATCTTAGCCGGAATCTGAACAGCAGTCAGTAACAACCGGCAAATGATTGATAGTTAGCCTCTGATATTCATCGAGCTGAATATTTTATGACATTTACGTAGTAATTGACAAGATTTTCCTTTAAGTGACATGCTTTGGCTGACTGTGAAATGAAAAAAAAAATGCATGTGTAAGCGTTTACTATTTGAACAGCAATTCGTTACGTACATGGTGGAACAACCACTTAGAACGGAGCTTCTTCGTACATCTGGTTGTCTGTTAGCTTGTGTTTGTAGCGTGGTCCACAATATGTAATATGTAAACTCTAATGATAGATGGTATGTTTGGCTGTTACCCTGATACAAAGCGTTAATGCTGCTTTTATGTTTGCCTGCACATGTGACTTGATAAATAAAGTTGGCAAAACACGCACACACACACATATATAAGGCTGTTACAAGCGAATCCAACGGACTTTGAATTTCTCGCCCGCAACAGACGTTGTGGTCTTGTCTGGTACTCAGTGAACTTGTGAGTAAAAGAAAGGTTACTCGAAAAGAAATCTCGAAGAAAAACTCGAAAGTTAACGCTGAGTGAGCAACTTGTCGTACCATCGAACTTTAGTTAAGATATTATGCGAGAGCATATATTAGAGCACAATATGCGAATGGTGCAAACATTCAAAAAACGCATATTCGAATGTTGATATCCAGCAGGGAAGTGACTGGATCTCGAGGCCCAAAGTAGAAGAACGCACTGCCGAATCAACTAAAGCGAAGGTCAAAGCCCTGTCTGCCAAACTGTAACTTCACATGTATTGTGTTGTAGAATTATAACTTAAAGACCGAAAATGCGAAAACTTATTAAAGAAAAAAGTGAACCACCTATTGACATCTCCTAATGTGAATTGATTATGTGACGAATCATATGGATCGTTGATACGGCAATCGAGATGACACAATCTGTTAGTTGACGGCAACGCCAAACCTCATTTCCATGTCCTAAATATATACAGCGGCTTTTATCGAGTTTACTGAATTGAAGAGATAAGGGACTGAGTGTATAGATAATTTCAATAATAAAGAATTTAATGAGTTGCTATAGGGCCATTGCTATTATATTGCATTGTTCCTACTGTTGTTGAATGTCTGTTAGCAACTGTAACAAATGTCAGTTACCTATTAGAGAGACGAAATGACTTAACTAGATTAATGTCTAATTTAAAATACTCTGACTTTTTGTCTCATTGCAGATGCGGTGGCTCTGTGTGCCATACCACGTATCTCCCAGGAGAGGCCTAATTTTTGCCGTTCTCCTGGGTGTCGCCACTCTTCTCTACTTTATCATCGTGCTAGATACCACCTCTAGCATTCAAGAGTGTGTAGCTGCAGTATTATATCTTTTTATCTTTATAACTTCCACGTATTATTTTAAGGGCATATTCCAACTTAATGAGAATTGTTTTATTAACCGTTAAAGAGCATAAACTAAAAAACATGTTGGGTACAGTTAAATAATATGATTTTTAATTAATTATAACAGTAACTTTAACAAGTACATATATAAGTTATCTCAGACTATCTGAGCTTTATAACAGTTATTCATAAAATTATACTGTGCTTACCCTCGAGCATTTGTCCGTTGTTTTATATTGCACTCTATTGAGAGTCGAATGTCATGTACACACCACGATTGTGCCCCGAACACAAAACATGAACGGGCATTGCTAATTTAATCCGAACGGAACAGGTCGGTCCATATTCGTAGAAGGTGAAGGGTACTGTGAGGTTAAAAATTTTGAGAAGCTGACAGCGTTATTTATCGTGAAAATCGGTGCTGAGCGTTACTTAGTCGACAATAGGAATATTAAAAAAAATGGTGCATTCCCTACAGTAATGTAAGTACATAAGTGATCGTGTGAACTAGTCGTCCTACGTTAGAGTTGAAAACATTTCACAGTTTTTAAAACATAATTTAAAAGACTACGTAAATAATAATATAGGTACCATTATGCAAGTGATGATCTAAATATAAATATATAATCAAATCAGACACAATTACATGATCTTAGTTTCCTTAAGGTAACGCACTGTTGAGGTCGCGTTCTGCTAGTCTGAGGGAGCCAATTCGAATTTGTATGTTGACAAAGAACTATTTGTTCAGTGTTGATTCGCTCAAAACCAAAAATTACCCTCAAATTGAGTTCAGCATGATCAGAGCATTGCCAGGAAAAATTACCATTGTGTACGATCAAAGACAATAATACTTTTTCAAATATGCGTGTTTACATCCAAGAGCAATGAATGGGTCTAAATATGCGAACTGATTGAATAACTTGCGTTAGATGCGATTTGCACGCGTCTTTACGCAGAGATTCGTTTTTAATATCGCCGATGGTGCAAGATCAACACATGAATATTTTTTAAGCAAATATCCCATGGGTATTACATATACCAACTCCTATAAAATGTTATTTGAATGCGGGAAAGTTTAGAAGAGTCATTACAATCAAAAAGACTCTTAGACTGAAACAAATATGCATTACATTTGTCTCGTGCACAAATACTACATCTCAAAGCACATCACGATGGTGCGGATATGAAAGAACAATTCAAAGATTTGTAACGTTGTGCACTTTGAGTACATACCAATCCATTTCCCGGGGCTATTCTCAAAAAATATAGTTCTAGGAAGAATATGTTATGGCTTTGAAAGGAATGCAGAACTTTCTTAAAGTCATGCACATTTATGGCAGATTTTAGATTGCAATAAGTTCTCCTAACACGTCCATGTGGATCGTTCGTTTCCAGGTCCTGGGGACTGCAAAGGAGTCCACCTCCTGAGGTTACGTTTGAATGTCCGATTACCCCCGTATTTCCTCTGAAATCTGGTGAGAGATTGTATATATGTGTAGGTTCAAGATAAGTTAGATCTACTGTTATTCAAAAAAAAAAATTGTGAATTTAGAAAAGAAAGATTTAAAAACAACTTGTGGTTTTTACCTCTAACGGGGCTCTTGATCAGGATAAACATCAGCCTTAATGCACTGTATCAAAATTAATAGCGAATGTTCCAATTTACCTAGAGCGTTATATCTTCTTTCGACATATTAATTGCCTCTTAGTAGCTTGATTTATTTACCAATACATTACTCATTTATTTTCATGCAGTCCAGAGCATTCAGACAACGTTGATGCCAGTTGTTGTTTATAAATTGAATCTTATTGTAAATAGATGTTCGAACGAATACGTGTATTCGGAAAAGCTTCACGAACGTATCTACTTGGTGGAGTTATTGGTCGCTTCAATAGCTGCTTCAATTCAAAGCCTAAATTATCCACAAACTATGCCAAATCATATCTGTATATTCACAAAAACTTCTCAGCAGTACACCTGAGTGAAACGTTATTGGTCCACGTAGACCTGTTGAAGATTGACTCAGAAGAGCCGGGGTGAAAAATCCAACGGAATGAGACTTTAAGCTTGTAGTAGATGAAAAGTCCTCAAAATCTAGTCATTTAAAAGCGCAAAAATACTCGAAAAGGTTAAAAAAATGTTAACAGTTGGGACTTGTCTGGATCATTCAATTGGTGATACTCCTTTCTCGAAAACAACCGTTGATTTCTGAAACAACCGTTGATTTCTGCATCCACAAAGAAATCACAACTCCGGGATCAGAAGAAACGGCTTTTTGCGCCATTTTAATGAATTTTATTGAATTGTTTTCAATCCAGTTCAGTCAAATTCGTAAAAGATTATGACCATCGTTACCACCAGGTTAATTAGTCCCAGAACCTTTGATAGAGTGTGACATCGAAATAGCTCCAGGTAAAATGCTAGTGGTCTTTTTGCAAGCAAAACTATCTTTGTATTAATGAATAGCATATGGGGCCGAATGATTAAATGCACATCAGCACCAAAAGTAAATCTAACATAGGTCGGAATGGCTTGTGCTCTTATTGATTACTAACGCATTCTTGCTTGCACTCGTGCCGCCGCTATTATCAACTTAATGTTTGTTGCTATTGTCCTCGTTATATATACATAAGCTGTGATCATTGTGGTTAACACGGTGGCTATAACTTTATCCAAGCCTTCTCAACTAATTCGTTAGGGTTCGGGGACCCAAACAAAGACACCCGCTGGTTGTAAGAAGGTATGCAAACTGCAGTGTAGAGTTTGTTTTAAAAGTGGCCAAGGAAACGGAGAAGTAAGAAATAAAGCGGGAAATTCACAAATCCATCAATTCGTAATACAGCTATTTGAACTGGACGATTGCTGTAGCCTGCATTTACTTATGTACTGATGCCCACGTTCGCGTGACTGTATCGCTACTTCTGTTTACTCTTACTATATCTATACATCAATTACCTGTATAATTGATTTGGCTTAAACGGATTCACTAGTAGGGAGCGATTCGAGGGTTGAATGCATGCAAGAAGTAAAATCGGCTACTTATGGTAGCACTGTGCACTTTTTGGGTAGATCGATCCAGTATCGAAGCTGATTTACATGTAAAGTAGATAAAATGCTCAGAGTTTTAGTAAAGTACAGATATATAATTTTTAAGGAGGGACGTGTTGAGTCTTGTTGTTACGAGGAACAGAGGTAAAAATATACCTGGGATAGTAAGAATAAGAAACACAAAACTAAGTTCTCAGTGAACACAAAACGTTTGTTTTGTCAGCATCAAAACACGGACTGAGTGTATAATTGATATTGTGGAACAGGGTGTCAAGGATGAATGTCCAGACTTCCAGAGTACAGTATTGTGTTATGTGGGTAGTAATATTAGGTATACTATTAAAATATTGCCTGGATATCATCTATTGAACTCCTATTTCACTATTGATCCGCATGCTGCCTCGCATGTGGGAAATACAGCTCAATACAGGCCTGTAAAATGTATGATTAATATTGTTTTGAGCAAATAGAGTCTAGAACTAAATGGAGGCTAAAAATTTTTACCAAAAAGATTACGAAAAAAGATAAGAAGTTGAGAAAAACTACTATGGGAAACGATCTATCACGTAATGTAAGGTTGGTCTGTTTGGCACCGTAAAATAAAAAACGACCGTGTATTTTCCTAGTGTGTAATGAAAACAGGGAACGCCCTCTGTAGAATAGTTTCACTTTTCGTGAAATGTTTGATTGAGCATGTTAATAGATTAAAGTATACGAAGCGTATTGTTTTTACTAGTAATTTCGAAATATCCAATATTTCGAGTAATAATAAAAACTAAAAAAGCAAAGGAAATATATATTTAGAAAATAATGTTATAAGGTTTTCCTTTCACTTAAACACGGTCTCACTGTTAGCGGTGCAACTGTACAGAATAATGATTACTAAATTTGTATTTTTTTATATTATATATATACGTGCTTTCTGCTTTTCATAGTTGCAAAAGCATATCACTAATATAACAAGTACTCAAACTATGCAACATGAATATGCTTGTGACACTTTCGATATCATTCAATAAGGTTTTAAAAAAGCTGGGTATACTTGGTACTGCTCAAGGAGAGATTATGTCATTCACATTGATTCCTGGTACAATACAAACAATCGAACCATTGTCGGTAAGCTGACTGAATGGTCTGACCGGCCTTTTATTCGGAAACCGTGCATATATCAGTAAAAAAACTAACAGAAACACTGAGAAGTCAAGGTATTAAGTTTGTGACACGGCTTAAGAAAAACATGAAAAACAAACCGCTTACGGCTTTTAAGCAACTGCTTCTTGCTGGGCGTGAATTTAATATCTATTGTACAACTAAAAGAGATATACCAAATCTAACATACGCGATATTGCTCGCGAGACAATTTCTTGGCAGCTCTGTGTCCTGGGCTTATACCTTCAAGCCGAATAAACCAAACTTTCAGATTCATGTAAAAATAGGTCCACAGAATTCCTCATTACCTCCGGCTGAGATTACTTAGAATACCAAATTTCTGAATCTAATATTTCTCATATTGCTATGTTGTATCAAATTCCTCTTTTAATTTTCGAACTTTTTTTTTATAGACCCGGGATATGGACCATAACCATACATATACTTCGAGGTACGTTTCAACAATTGCTTTAGGTTGGTAGAAGAAAGGATTATGGATACCACGAGCTGTATGGTCTTTGATTACTAAGCTAGTGCAGCTCTATGAAGACATATCAAAACAAAAGTTTTGATATGATTTAGGCATAGCAGATTGTAGACAATATTCGGAGTAAGTAATGTAAGTATCACGCATTACGGCCTCTCTGATCAGTATTTAAAGCTTTTCGGTACTATTCCTATATTGATAAAAAATAGACTGAGATCAGTGGTTGGCTGGTAACGATATTCTCTATGATAGCTATTACCATAGTAATAATCCGGATCAAAATCGGGGTAACATTTTGAAAAGCTGGCAAACTGTGCAATATATGGCGAAAATCTGCGGATAATGCTCGAATGACAAGAGCTGGCCACTGTGTGAATCGAGGAAATTATAAAGTTTTCAAAGCACTTTCAATCAATGGAATAGATATAATAGGCTGACTTAGGTGCGATATCATTAAAATCGCGAATTAATGTGTAACTATTTTAAATAAATAATAATCGTTATATTATTTGAAGTTGCTAAAGAAGGCCCAAGGAAATTTAGCTGGTTTTATTGCAGTGTAAGACTTCAGATTAGCTGCTTAAGATTAGATCTTTTGGTTAAGAAGTACATATGACCTATTCGCACTATCATTTCCTTTAACTTCAGTTGCTTTTAGTTTGGTGACTAACGGTATTTTGGTGAATGATTTAGCAGAAAGATCGGTAGCATTAGCAGGAGATATCAACGGAGACGGCATAGATGACTTAACTATTGGGGCATCTTATGCTGATCCAAATAGCTGAAGTTGTGCAGGGCAAGCACATGTGATGTTTGGTAAATCGTCATTTACCTCTCCTCTAGAGTTAATTATGCTGAATGACAATGTGGTTTTATAACAAATGGTATTGCAGCTGGTGATTGGGCAGGCTGGTCGGTATCCGCAGCAGGAGGCATTAACGATGATGGCAGAAATGACTTAATTGGTGCGTATGGTACTGATCCAAGTAGCAGAAGTCATGCCGGGCAAGTGTATGTGGTGTTTGGTCGATCATTTTTTGCCTCTAATTTAGATTTATTGTCCTTCGGTGATAATGGTATTGCAGCTATTAGTAATAGCTGATAATGCAAAAATATCTGTATTATCAACAGGGAACATCGGCAGAGACGGCTTAATTATTAGTCCATAGAATGCTTTTCCCAGTGGCAGAACTGATGCTAGGCAAGCATATGCAGTGTTTGGTAAAACACCTTTCAGTTCTTCTTGAGAGATTGCAGATGGGGATTGCAGGGATATCAGTTTCTGAAGCAAGAGACATTAATGGAGATGGATTTGATGATACAGTACTTGGAACCTGGCAAGCTGCTCCAAGTGGCAGAACTTTGACAGGGCAAGTATATGTGGTATCTGGTAAATCATTTGTTACTTTTCTTTTAGAGCTTCCATCGTTAAATGGTGGTAATTTATTTTAGTGGTATCGCAAATGGTAATAATACTCTGCAAATCAGTTGCTTTTGCAGGAGATATAATGATGGATTTGGCGATGTGGTAATTGAAGCTCCGAAGTCCAGACCGGGGGGGGGGGGGGTTCGGTCGGGCAAGCATATGTGGCATTTAGCAGGCCTTTTTTTACTTCCTTTTTTGAACTTTCTTCTTTAAATGGTAACAATAGTTTTAGAGGCCTGCGTTAATAAATAGGGCAATGTACGTGTTATTTTTGCTAAGATTGTTGCTTCAATCCTAAAAGTCCTTTATAGCAGTTCATTATCTAGAAGATCATGCTTTGACTGTCAGACTAACATACGAAATTGAATTGCTGTTACCTGCTTCAGGAGGCCCTTGTCAGTTCTTACTAATTGAAGGTATTAACCAATATAGACAGGTATTCCCCACGGTTGATAATGCTGCGTATAAAGCTTTTCATAAAGTTGCAAAGATGCTTTTCAAATTCAGATTCTCCAGAATGGCCAGCTATAAAAGAATTAGCATTAACAGGCGATCCGAAGGCATTTCAGCTTTTATTAGTTCGACATGTGGAGCTTTTTATTGTTGCCTTAGCTAATGGCCAAGAAAGATTTTCTAAACTGTTTGCATTCTTGCCATCATCAGATCTGATAGTATCTTGATCTTTCAGTGGCATTATTATTGCATTGCCCTTTAAATATTTGCTTACCCATCCAGGTAAATACTTAGAACCTATGATGAATGAATATTTGATTCTTCTAAAGGTCTGAGCCTGACGCATGTTATTTGTAATCCGAATACATTAGTTAATTTTGGATCTTCTTCGATAGTTTTTCTACAGCATAACAATATGAAGTCAGTCTGCTTTCTGCCAGAGCGAAATAAACTTTATGCTTTGCCAGTTAGAGTTATCTCAGAGGGTCGTGTTATTCTGCAACTGCTTGTTAACTTACGAAGCTTGCAAATGGTACTTAAAGGAACGAATAAATTTACAGACCTATGTACGACACCTTCTGCTAGCGGTCAGTTTGCGTTAATTGCTTGTTTACTATGCCACTCTATGCCACGCCATGGGAAATGTTACTATTCCTTTTCATAATAATTTAAACTTGTAAATAACAGACACAGAAAACTTTGCAAGAGGATCGAATGCTGGTATAGTTCAAGCCTCTCAGTGGCAGTAGATTAGCGATGTATAATTCTGAGGACCCTTGAATATGAATTATAAGATATTATGTCTACTTGTCAGTTTTCGTATTATGTTATTCGAATCATTAGCTAGGACTTATTGCAAAAAACCACTGTCAAACAGACTCAGGCGGTTGCTATGAGGACTACAAACAAAGTTGTGTATTTGCCTATCTATATTAACTCCCGACCGTACTAATTAAGGTTTGGATCGGATTCTACGCCTGTATAAAAATTGATAGGACTAAAGATGATAAGAACTGTTTGACCTGGTCATTAATGTAACCAGCTTCTTTGCTGGGCGCCCCCTATGTTTTATGTGTGTGTCGAGCTCTCAGCATTTTACATTCATAGAGAGAATTCAAGAGATCCTTTTAAATTGCTAGAGAGAAATAACCTTCACTAGAAATACGTAAGTGTCGGAAAAACTTGAAATTTCGGTGGACAAATGAATCCGTTGACACATTTAATAGCGCCGAGAAATTTGGCTTGTTTTATTCAAATAATAGCATTTTGAAAATAGAGTTAAGCATGTACATTGGCTTGAAGGGCTTTAGGGATATGTTATAACACATTCCCAATTTTTAAGACCACTGTAAAACTACATTCAAAGCGTACAACTGAAATCAATAAGGCATCTGATAAAAATGAATCTGCTTTCACGGCTACATATATCATACTTGACATATTTGTTTTTGTCGGTCGAATGCGGATGTGATGACTTAGTAAAAAGTCTTATTTAGGTCATAGCATCTATTGTATTACCTACCAAACAAGATTATATTTTTGGAGCTGACTCTAGATAAAAAAGCAAATTAAACACGATTGGCTATATTGGCGTGGATAGCATTTTACCTTGACATTTATTGTGTGGCCTTCTTTCTTATCAGCCGTAACGTGAGTGCGTGCCAAATACGTTACCTATGCCTTTACGATTGCTCGGACAGATCAATTTATACCCCAATACGTAGAGTGTCCCAAAGTCGTAAAATCGTTGCGGCACTGTTTATACAATGCATTTCTACTTGGCCTGAGCCGCCGCTACCGCCGACGCCAGACACAACATGAAGTCCTTCGTAGCCATTAGGATTAGCAGGCCGATTATTTTCGTAAGTCGCTGTTTTGTCCTGCGTACGACTACAACATTTGGCTCGGTTAAGCTTGTGTACGTGCCTGTGAAGCAGTGGCCACACCCTGCTGGGAGTAAATCTATTTACTAATGTATCAATATTAACATAGGGAGATATACTGTCTACGGTACGCAAATCACATGCGTACGTTACATTATCGTAATGCATTATTATTTCAATTGAAGAAGAAATCCCTGCACACAGTGCAACAAGCTGTATACATGAATTGCTTATCTTTATAAACCTTAACTTCCATTCTGCGTGAAAGATTCACCTAGAAGTTTGTGCTACGTGTAATCACTTCGTTTGACATGAGAAAAAAAGTGACCCTGCCAGCAGAAGCCAGAAACATGTCTAAAGGCCGTATATTAAATGTTGTAGACGGAAAAACTAGAAAACAACAGGTGTCGTTTATCTCGTAAGTGTTGAACATTTGATTGGCTTTTGTTGTCAATACTACCCTTATCGTATCGGACAGAGTAACTATGCATAGCAAGAGGTGACTTTTTGCGAGAGAATGAAAATAATGGCAAGAAGCCCATATACTGTATGCAAACGAGCGGTTGCACTACCAATACTGGTTTGCCTAGCCTATTCCTCCTACTACTTCTTCGTTTAAAGTTTATAAACTGTAACGTAGTTGTTACCTCATTTGGCGAAAATACTTGTGGAAGTTATTTGAAGTTTCGACGAAAGCGATTTATTTGCTTAGCTACAGCCGGTTGTCAATTAAGTATTAGAGTGAGCTGAGATAATAAATAAGCCAATCTAAAAAATCTTTTTTGGTTCTTCCTTAATGTTTAGGCGAGAGCTCTTCGATTCTAGCAAATGTGCACGTCTCATCTGCACAACTCCGTCTGGACGCACGGGTATTAGTGTTTGTCGAGACGCCTTATTCTAAACTCGGACGGCTTATCACCGAAACCCTCGAAGCAGCTAGAATTAGGTGAGTGGCGCTTTTGCTTGCAGGCAGCTGTGTTGTGCAAAAAAACGTTCTATTCCTGGTAATCGTCTGTGGCGGGCTAGGGCTATTTTTCGTTGCTTGTCGGAAAAAAATGTGTCGTAATTGGAAACGCTGAAAAACCGCTCCAACCACCAAATGTTCTAGTCAACAGAAAAAACCTAGTCCTGTAAATTGGATTATGATTGAATAACATATTTAGGCGCAACTATGTTCGCATAATTGATTGTTACTATTACAGATATCGTAGCGAAGTGTCAACTCGAACTTTGCCAACGCTCACTAATCTCGATCGGGGTGAGTCTCTTGATAATGTTATCATTTAGACGTTGATTTTCGTACAATCATATTTCGTACGTGCTACATTGTTGCGAAGAAAAAAAAAAACTTAAAATACCACTTACATTCGCATTTGTTTCGGCAACTTCTAATAGGTCGCTTTGCTGTAATTGTCTTTGAAAACATCGACCGATATTTGGTTCTGCATAAATGGAATCGGGAGCTCTTGGACAAATATGCACGGGAGTATTCCGTTGGCATTATCGGGTATGGACCACTGTTTATTAATAGTCGTAGCATGATTTAAGCCTAGTTTAGCCCGTTGTTATTTTATTTGGCATTAAATATCTTTCGGGACTGTTACGTTTGTCTATTGTTTTTGTCTGTTCTTGATAGTTTTATCTTTTTGATTTGTTATAATGATTAAGTTCCGAGGCGAGTTGCTGCAAGCCTACCTTAGCACGGTAAAGTTATTTTATAATCATTCCTGGCAGATTTGTCCGCCCATCCGGAGATCCTCGACCGCGAGCAATACCATCACTTAATCTTGTGGCTTATGCCAACGTGAGTGTGGCGTCTCGGCCTTCGTTAAATCCGCTTTCGCCAGTTCTCCGAATGTGTCGTGCTGGTGAACACGAAGGTGATTTCCCTGGCGAGTGGACGCTCTTCACTTCAAATCATTCGACGTTCACGCCCGTTATGCAGGTTGGTGTCATTGCGTATTAGAAGTCGTTCACATCTACTATAGTTCTGTATTTTCGCTCAGTTAATACTGTACAGACCAGTTGTTCACTCGTCCCTTATCACTGTTCGGTTCAACTGGCGATATAGCTGGCACAAATGTAAGGCAGTCTTATTATAACTGATAGCTTATATAGTTATAATAATATTAGTATGTTTCCTTCGGTGTCGTAGTTTTAGTGCATTCTATCGCTTCTTAATGCAACTGCAAAGACGTCTTTGTCATATTCTTGTTTTGATGGTTCTCGATTGTCGATTCGGGTTCACTTGCTTGGTAAGTGTTGGATAAGCATCTGTTGGTCTGGTGACACGTTGTGCGGATCGCTTACTATTTAGGTTCGTTCTCCAACGCACACGCAACCAATGAGCGCAATCGTCCAGGACGAAGGTCTCCACGACGGCGTACGGCGCGTGATTTTCGGTACTGGATTCAATGCGTTCTGGCTTGTCAAATTAATTTTCCTCGACAGCATTTCCTATTTGTCACATGGTATGTACTATCGCCGATAAACAAATTTGCGACCAGGTGCCTGCGCACGAGCATAAGCGTACATAAAGAACGTTGTATACTTTGTAACTATTTTTTTCTAATTAGCAAACGTTTCTCTTGCGTGAGCCACTACTTAGAATCAGGCGCTAGTTATTTTTACTGTCCACTCCTGATCACCTTCAGGCAAGCTGTCGCCGCCATTGGAACGACATTTGCTGATCGATATTGATGATATATTCGTATCGGAACGAGGAACCCGAATGCAAATATCCGATGTAGAACAACTGCGAGCTGCTCAAGCGAGAATTCGCCAAATGGTGCCCGGATTTCGCTTTAATCTGGGATTTTCAGGAAGGCACTTTCATCGTGGGTATCCCGCCGAAAACAGGGGCGAAGACCTGTTGCTTTGTAAGTTCCAACCTTTTCCTTAGCAAAAACCTTTTCATATAAACGTTTCAAGTAACATAATATTATAATGAATCGGTCGCTTTCGTTGTTATTATATGCACAGAGATTCGAGATGGATCGTGTAACAGGAAGGTCTCAGTTTATGTTTGGAGCGAATCAAGTTATTAAGATTTGCAAAAAAGATCTGTCACCGTGTAATAGAATTAAGGCTAGATCGCATTTTGACATTATTCTTTTGTTCCGAGAATATTAGATTAGGTCTTAGGACTTTTCTTCTGGTAGTGAGTCAGGCATTTGCTCATACTTGTCCTAATGATCTAAATGTCGACTTCATTGCAGCTTACGCCAACGAGTTCTGGTGGTTTTGCCATATGTTCGGACACACGCAAGCACATCTGTTTGAGAACGAGACAGTGCTTGAGAATGAGATGCGACTCAATCGTGAGTTTGCCCTTCAGCATGGGCTGGGTGCTGATCAGCACTATTCTGTGGCTCCACACCATTCTGGCGTGTATCCAGTACATGAGCCGCTATACGATGCCTGGAAGAGGGTTTGGGACGTGAGGTAATTAAGATATTTCTATAAATGTAAATTCTACAACTAAATTAGGAAAGAAACAACTTAATTTACACGAAGGGATCCATAAATGGTGATATGAATGGCTTTTAGGTTTACATGAGAGGAGTATTATGTATATCTATATGGGACGTAAGAAATTTAAGAGGAGACTACGCTTATAAATTTACCTGCTTACTCGCCGCGCACAAATCTTCCTGGTACATTTTATTCTTACAATGTCTGTAGAGATAATTTTATTTGGTATTATACAAAAATATTTGGTAACGTTGAAGACCGAATATTCAAACGCAGATTTTTCTGTACGCCATTTTTATCACTGAAAATGACAGCACATAAGTTTTTGTCAAGTAGGGGATTTACACCAGCAAATGCACACATCTAGCTATTTTCTGACAACCCACCGAAGGTTGCGTGAACCTAACCGCACGAGGATTGCAGTATCACAAAGCTAGTTTGGGTTGAAATCTTGTACTACGTGTACATTCGGTAAATGATTCTGTGGTCATCTACGTGCTGAAAAGTCTGATGCGATAATTTACAGAAAAATACATTTGCAAGTAATCAGTGTCTTTAAGACGTTTCCCATCAGGTCGAATGTTACTGTATAACGAGAGTTATAAACTCAATCAAGATCCACTGCTAGCTTGAAGAACTCGAGTAGGGACGGAAGAAGGTTGACTAGACTTATTTTTACTTTTACACGAAGTAATCCACCAATTAGCAAACGACCCTATTTTGCCGCTGTGGGTACGTAGATTTTGCACTTCGTAAAACAGCAGATGCAATTAACCTTATGAAAAAGACACTGTTTTGGGTAAAATAAGTGTCACCGAAAGTTAACAAACGTGACGCAGTCTTAAATAAGTTCTAGCAATTGGTAAATAATAGATCCATTCTTGCAGTATCGAGGAGATGAGTATCGTTTTCAGGAATATGGAAAAGCGTAAGGCTAAACACGTTTCGATTTGAAATCTGTCATTGGGGCACGCGTGCGACTTGAGATACGATTTCAGGCATTATCTAGCTGAACTCTCGTGATTAGTCTACCGAATGAACGGGATCGTCTGCAGTACTTTACTTTCATTTAGTTGTCCTGTTCTAACGGAAACGACATTCAAACTGTAAAGAACTTTAGATCGACAATATTTATTAACGCAAGTTCATACGTATATCGTGTGACATTATATATAAACTTATGAACAATCTTCAACAGTATTGATGATAAGTTCAGGAAATGAGCCGTGTGCTTTATGTGAGTCTGCCTCTTTTGTTGAGTACGAATTGCAGGATTAAACAAAAACGTATCATTCTCTTTATTTTTTACTTATCTCTTTGATTTGCAGAGTGACTTCGACAGAAGAGTACCCCCATTTGCGACCGGCACGATTTCGTCGTGGCTTTATTCATCGTGGCATAATGGTGTTGCCGAGGCAAACGTGCGGGCTTTACACGCATACTAACTTTTACGCGCGGTATCCTGGTGGATCCGATAAACTCGAAGCATCGATTCACGGTGGGGAATTATTTTATCAGTTGGTGCTTAATACCATCAACGTATTTATGACCCACTTTTCCAACTACGCGAACGACAGACTCGCTTTGTATACCTTCGAAACAGCAATACGCTTTGTCAAATGTTGGACAAATATTCATTTCTCGACGATACCACCATTACAGGTTAGTAACGATAGTTATATCAATATCCCACTGTTCGCATTCTAGTAGACTTCATTCGTGCGAGCATGATGATACGCACAATTTTCAGTTACGTGTTGTTGTGATGATTATAAAACGGTAACGGTGAAAAGTTGAAGTGTTATGAAACACTTATGTACATGTAGAACAAAAAAGTCTATCGAATAAAGCCAAAGTTTACTCTGAGCGCGTTGCACGTAGTTTTCCCATAACTTATAATCATACTATTATTCAACCTACGCTCTGTTTTTCCTCGATTCATAGCTGGGCGAAAAATATTTCACCATGTATCCGGACGAGACTACCCCGTTGTGGGGGAACCCGTGCGATGATCCGAGACATCGTTTGATTTGGAGTCGCAACAAAAGCTGCGCTCAGCTGCCTCATCTATTAGTGATCGGTCCTCAGAAAACGGGCACAACAGCTCTTTATTCGTTCCTCAAAGAGCATCCGGCCATTGAGTCGAACGAGAATTCAGCACAACATTTCGAGGAGGTGCAGTTTTTTAACAACGATAAAAACTACCTCAAAGGCATCGATTGGTACCGTTCATTTTTTTCTATAAGCAATGACTCGCAGCTTCTTCTATTTGAAAAAAGCGCCACCTATTTTGATAGCGAAGCAGCACCGAAACGGGTACACGCCTTACTGCCCAAAGCAAAACTAGTTGCTATACTTACCAATCCAGCAAAGAGGGCCTACTCATGGTATCAGGTGAGAAACGCAGTTCCTTGACCATCTGCTTATATGTCTATGCAAGGTTAGTTGCATATGTTTTAGACGTAAGCGTCGCTTCAGTCTTAGTGGAGATAATACTTTCGTCGACAGGGAGAACACATACATACCTAAAGAGCTTAGTAACGTCACAATTATTGAGTATCTCAGCTTCGTTGAATTGTTGTTGACAGCATCAGCGAGCGCATGGGGATCCGGCAGCTGTCGATCATTCGTTTCTCGAAGTTATTAGCGCCAACGACACCTCACCAAAGGCTCTAAGGTGAGCGTACGAGTAGATGAATATATGTGTAATTTTGCACACTTTTGCTTCGTGTTGTACAGACAAAGCTTTCCGTGAATACTAACTAAAACGTTCAACGGTACATGTAGGGATTTACAGAATCGGTGTCTCCAACCAGGCCTATATGCAGTTCACCTTCAACGGTGGCTAAACTTTTTCCCTAATAGCCAGGTAAGCGAATGTGCTTATTACATACGCACAACACATTTACGCCGTAGCCGTTACGTATTATAAGAATAGCAGTAAGCTGCTATGTTTGTGCAACGTTTCAGTTTAGGAAAACACTCAAGCAAGCAGCACAGTAGTGTGTCACAGACAATTGTGACGTTTTTTTTAAATTTTCAAATTAATCCTGTTCTATAACAATATAAACATTCGTGGTTTGTAGCTCTTCATAATTGACGGAGAGGAACTCCGCCATAAACCAGTGGAGGTTATGAATAAATTGGAGCACTTCCTACAGGTGAGTAAATTTTGCTGAAGACAACCTGGCGGATAGCCATCCCATAATGCCTCCTTGTTTGTATCACAAATGATGAATAGTGTAAACCGCATTAGTTAATAAATGTGATAAAAGCGTTAACGAACGTGGCCTTTGCTTTTCGTAATTTTGCTTTGTACGATTTAGCCAGACGACTAAATAGCCAATGTTTTGTATTTATTTGCATGTTTTCTTCTCCCCCTGTTTTGCCCTCGTATCAATGCAGGTGACACCTTATGTGGATTATCAGTACCACCTCGAGTTTGATCCTCGCAAGGGTTTTTTTTGTCCAAAAGTAAACGGACGACGACGCTGCCTTGGAGCAAGCAAGGGTCGCCGCTACCCCGACATGTGTACCCAGTGTGCTGCAGCCCTGAAGGAATTCTACCTCCATTATAATGTCCAACTATCAAAACTGCTCGGGCAATTGAAAATCGTTGCTCCCAACTGGCTACGAGAGGAACTGACGAAAGGATAGTCGATAAGAATGTCGAATAGTGAATTTTATACTGCATGGAGTTAGTTTTCTTGAAGAGAACTACAAAACTAGCGGCCACTATTTAATTACCACAAATATGGATGTTCCCAATGACGATCTTCGACACTAATACTTACCACTGACACACTAAGTAGGTACAGGAAGATAACATGAATTACAGTAGAGTAACGCAAAAAATCTAAACGATCGACTCCTGATGGTTGTTGGGTTTATAACTAGCTATATACCGATTCGAACTTAAACAGTGCTTTTGGCCATGTGAAGTTTCGCCACAGTCACGTAGGGTTTTGGTATCTTCTTAAAGCTTGTTCGCCTTGAATATTTAATGAACAGCGACACTTAATTACCCAATATGTCCAAAAACGGCTTCATTATTGAACGCCTAATAGCATATCCATAAGCGTATCTACGTTAGGTTCTTTCAATTGAACCACAGATATTTCTCAATATTCTGCCTAGTCCACACGTAATTACTTTCCAATCTTGATATCGGTTTATATGCCCTATAGTCGTGTCTATAAACACATACAAAATGTGATGCGGTATAGACCGAGACAAACGAAGTCAAGGATCCGCAGCCTTTACAAATGGCAATGAATGCTTGCAATGAGTAGAGGAACTCGTCGTATTTTTTTTTACGAGGCCACAAAAGCGTAGTTAGGGAAGAGCAGTTTAAAAAAAATTCGGTCTGGCATAGCGGAGAGAAGGTGATTTGAGTTCATGGGATTTATGTCACTGACCAGGCACGTCATAACTGCTGCATGGGTTGTGCAGCGTTGGATAGCAAATAACGAACGGTTCGAAATGGGGCAGACAAATCAGAAATAACCCTTACGACGAACTAATAACGACATCGTCACTGTTCACGCAAAACAACAGCGTGGACTATGAAATGTACATCTCTGTTTGATAACGACCATGTTAGTATTTATAATTATATACATCTTAGTTATAGCGCGTTTTTGTGTAAATAGATGTATATTGTATATATACAAATGAAGAATTATCAAAATACTGATAAGAATAATTATAATAGTGATATTAATACTCCGTTAGTACTTGCCATTACTATCACCCACGTTGCTGAGCTGACAGTATTATCACTTGATAACAAACTCTCAT